CATCCCAAAGAAGTTTTCAAAAAATATTTCTATAATGAGAAACCAGGAAAAATGCTATTTAAATAAAATGTGCTTAAACATTTCTCTCTTATTAAAAAATATTTTTTAAAGTGCAGATCGAATAATTTTCCAAATAATTTCATCAGTTTCATGTCAGTGAACCAAATGTTTTTGGCAGATAATTAAAATTTTTAGCATTTAAATTTTAAAAAATTAAATAAAACGTATGGAAATCATGTACTATTTTTTTTTTAATCATGCTTTATATATATATACATATTTTGGAGAATATTAGGTCAAGAGTAATATTTTACATAAAAAAAAACATTTTTTTTCTTTTTTGGAGTTATACCATATAAGCATATTTGTTCTTCGTACCAACGCCTAAAATACGCCTCTTTTGAAATGCAATTATTTTGCGAAATAACTAAGCTGGTTTAGTAAGAAGTAGAATAACATTTTTTTACATTATAATTAGGTAAGTTTAAAATTAGGTCGTCAAGAGTCTGTCCCCTTATAGTTATTTTACTTTTGTGTATTTTGCTATTTCTCGGGAACAGTTACAGCGCACAATGTTTGTACACAATTATAACAGTCGTTCATCCACAGATAATTCCATCTAAAAACTAATTTTTTATCATTATTTCATTTAATACATTACCATTTTAAAATACGTGAAAAAAATTTAACAAATTCGGTCCATAGTTCTTGATCGATCGAATAGTTGCAATAAGAATTTAAAACACGGTACGTGTGAAATTTTATAACTCAAAAATTCAAATTGTGTTTCTTTGATTTTATAAGGCAGAAAGTTGACCGATAACTCTGCTATAAATTCAGCGAACCCATTATGATTAAAATCAATACTTTATCGCTTACGAAAGTTTGGACATTTACACAGATTATGAGAATCAAATCCAGCAAAGAATTTGACATTTGGCAAATCTTTAGGTACCAGGAAAAGAGGATAGTCAACCACTAGGTGGGGGGAAAATATTAAAAAAAGATCTCAGCTTTCAGGATAATAGAAACTAGAAAACTGTAGGACATGATAGGCAGAAATGGAGGCAACTGATTTGGATGGACAGCCTTGACCTGTTCTAGACTGTACAGCCCAAGAAGTTGACTAAGGTAACATATTGTTAGCAATAAAGAGAAGACAATTGTGATGGATGACCCCTAAATAAACTTTGAAATAAAAGAGATTAACTACAAATTACTGATCATAAATTTCATTTTGATTGACTTTTTAACTTTGAGAATGGAAAAATAAAGCTTGTCACTAAATATAAAAATATAAAACACATTTTTAAAAAACGCATACTCCCTAAAGCTATGAATAATACTTTTTGGTTTTATATAGTACTGTGACATCTAATAAATACAAAAATTGGATGGAATTTCTGTACTGCCTTAATTGAATCAGTTGATGCGATCTACCAAAATGAATAAAAATATTAATTTATAAATCTAACAAAAAGCTTAACAAAGTACTTATTTACTCCGTGAAAATATATGTTTGTAAACGGTTTCACTATCTAGAGCTGTTAAATTTTTTGAATTGATTTCTTAGTTGAAATATATTGTATTTTAAAAATAAAATTACTCATTAAAATAAGTTTCAGTCATTAATTGATGCTGTAACGATTCTTATAAAAGCGTACCTTAGCAAAACTTCAAGGTCATTCAATCAATCAGAGCATCTGCCTTTGGTGTTTTGGAGAACCCAATTTTAATCTCTGTTGATCAATCAATCAGAAAACACTTCTGTACATGTATTTGAAGAAATAAACAATGAATGAAATTAATCATAATTAACTAATAATTAATTAGGAAGTGAAGTTAAAGTGTCATGTGAAACATAGGTTAGCTTTATTTTCTTCAGATAGATCTAAATACTTGTTCTGCATCCTTTATCAATCAGTTGTAATTGTTCTTGAAGGATCAACCATGGTTGGCTAAGATTATTTAACAATTCCTTGATTGTCTAACAAGGATATGGTTTCACTTCCACTCTAACTATGCCACAGTATAAAATTGTAGGTCATTTTGATCAACATAAGTTGGAAAATCAAATTATCAGTAATGAATTTCTAACACACGTGGATAAACATTACAAATATATTTGGTAGCAACATTGCATCACTACTTTAGTAAAACTAAAAAAACATACAATACTTGATATGTACCTCTTTTAGATTTTCAAATCTTCCTGGTACAATTATGAATTGTGAATAATATTGATGTTAAATAACTGCATCCAGTTTGGAGAGGATTTTAAAAGTAATGATGGAATTTTCTGTTTTAAAATAAAATATTAAACTAAACATTTGCTTCATTTAACACATAATACATCTATGTCTAGATTTTATTTGTATTCAAATTATCACATTTCATATAAATAATACAATAAAATATCACTTAACACATTCAAAGTCATAGAAATGTTATACACAAAAACACAGAATCAAAAATCAAATCAGACATCAAGTTAAAACAGAAAATAATTCAAACAGTCAAAATTCCTTTTAAATCATAAAATTGTTCATAAAATCACTACACGAGTGTTAATTACATTTTTCAAACGAATATTAATTAAAAATAGTAAAAGCACCACTAAAAATGTTTTAAATAATACTAAATTAACTCATTCCCAACATAACACGCTTTTTATAAAAATAAAAAATGTAGGACACACAAATTTGCAAGCAAAAATCACAGATTTTGTGAAAAATAACTCATCAATGCATGACTGTACAGGTTTCAATTTTTTACAGTTTTGACTTACTACTTAACGCTCAACAGGGAATTGGAGGAATAGACTAGATATCAAATATAATAATATATACAAAATTAATGCTTCGATTAGAGGGGAAAACGCTAAAAAAATTGAAGCATTAAAAAATTCATCAAACAAAATATTACTCTGAGTAATTCTAAACTAAACACAATAGTAATAAAAAAAGTTTAAAGTTAAAACAAAGCAATTTTTATTCTTCTATAAAATTAACATTTAAATATAAAGCAATTATAATCATTCGGCTATAGTAAATAGTAAAGTAAAACCTAATGCAATTATTTTAGATCAGAAGAATGCCGTAACAGTGAAGTTATGAGGTGAACAATAACATTCACCAATTTCATAGCAATAAAAAAAATAAAGAACACACATATGCTTATGACGAATTGCGGAAACCATTAATAGTATAAAATTTTAAATATTTACAGCATAGTGATATTTAGCATGTTTCTCAGAAACATAAACATAGATTATAAGTATTGTACATTAGTAAAATATCACATTTTTATAAAACAAATAATTTTATAGACTGAAAACAAATATCAAATTGAGCTCAAGTGTTTCAACCTATTTTAACTTCGAACAGTCAAGATAAAGCTTCAAAGAAAAATTCTTTTCTAACAGATAAAATTTTTTAATTATTTAAAATATTGACATAATATAGACATATTTATTTATTTTTGATATATAAATAATTCACGAACATAATTACCATTTTGTGTTACTTTTTAAAATATTATTTTCTACTTCTATTTTTTTCATAATTTTATAACAATCATAAACAAAGTTTTACCGCTTTTAATTAGCAAACAATGCAAGTTTTTTTGTCAACAAGTCTAGTGTGCTTAGATTTTTTGAGAGATACATACAGTAGTAAAGGATTTTCACAGAAAAATCTCCAAAATTTAGTGTTAATAAGATCATTCAGAAGATCATGCACATCAACATTATTGTTTTAAATAATTTTAAAATACAAATATTTTAGAACATAAAAATATGCACTTAAGTATTTATTGTTTGCAGAAAGAAAACAATTATTAATTTTGGATTGTTTTAAAGATTGTAAAGTTAATGCAAAAGTTATGGAAAACTGGGCATAGAATTACATTTTATAGATTTTCTACTGTATTTATGAATTTGCCTTAATGACACATTTATTTTTGAAAGTTCGTATAGTATGAATATGTTAATAAAGAGAATATTTGAAATAATAACACATGCTTACAATACAAATCAAAAAAGAAAGACTTTCTAAAAACTACAGAATGATCCAGATTTCAGAGTGAGAATGTGTTTAAACAAATTGAAAAACTGTTACAAATATTTTCTTTACTTACATCAAGTATCTTATATTTTCTATGGCAAAACAATTTATCTATACTTTACTGAATTATAAAAATTTTATTGAATTATTGCTATAGGAAAAAAGAACCAAAATTAAATAAATGACTAACAATATACACATTTTCTTTTATTAAGACAATATAAAGAAATTTTAATGATAAATTCATTGTTTTAACTTAAAACTTACGAATGTTTTGCTCGAGCAACTTTATTTAAATAACTTTATACAAAACTTTTGAGTATTCATTAAATATGTAAGAAAAAAATGGATTTGCAATAATAACAAAAATTAACAATATTATTACTAAAAAATATTTTAAAACAGTATTAAACTCTATAAACTTAAGGATAGTTGGAAATATTGATAAGAAAAATCATTTGGATAAAGACAGTTAAAAGTAATTTCTATTAGGTAAGCATCTAAAAATAGCTAATATATTTCATTTTCAGCATTCTAAATCATGCAAAATTACTGTACTAGATAAGTTTTTATACAATATGTTTCTTAACTACTGAGGTACAAAATATAACGTAGATAGAATTTTAAACAACATCCTGAATATTTACTAACCAAATTCCATTTTGAAAATATTTAAAAATATAACAAAATAAGAAAAGTTTATTTTTCATGAATTACTTTTTTACACTATCTTTAATAATCGAACCTATATAATCAAAGCCAGAGCAAATATATAAAATAAATTCATTAAATATGTAAATGTTTAACATGTTACTTAAACCTTTAAATGCTGTTAACTTAAATCAAGACAATTTGGTCTGCCTACGATAATCATTTGAAATTCGAGGATGGTTAGCATATTTAGTTTAACTTACAAGTAGTAGTATCAGACAAGTATTTTTTTTTTCTAATTAGTTTTAATATTAAACTAGTTTGACAATACAAAGAACTCCAAATAAATGTTAAATGCCTGATTAAACTTAGTTAAAATTCATTGTTATAGCCCATGTCAAATTATCTTTATAGTCTCATACAGCACTGTATTACTTTTACAATGATATCATACGTCGTGTGCACAAAATAAAAATGGAAAAGCTTAAAAACTAGTGATCGAACTTTCATTTACTTAGATGCAATCTTAATGATATTAAACTTAATTATTTTGTGCAAACATTTTAAGTTACAAAATCAGACAAAAATGTACTTTCTATGAATAAACACACCTCTTTTTTGAATTATTTAGATTTTCGACCCACAAAATAGGATCTGAAAAACAGTCCAAATGGTTTAGGCAGGTAAGCAATCTAAATCTTAGGTCCTATATCGTAATTTCATCTTTTTTCATGCTGATTTGCATAAAAAAAGTCTCATTTTCAAATTTTCATTCCTTACAAACTATTTGACCAATTCTATTCCAGTTTTGCAATTCGTCATTTAAAATTAAATCGTTAAAAAAAATTGTATACCATATAAATTTAAAACTTCTAGAAAATAATTATAATAAAAAATAATTATAAAAATGTATTTTTTATGTAAAATTACTGTTGTAAAAACAAACTTTTTGAGTGTGACTCAGTGATATGGCAAAATATGCTAATTGCAAAATATGCTGAGCTAAAATTAACATTAAGGGTCAAACTGTCTATTACTCACCAGCAGTATAAAATGTTTAAATTATATTTTAAAATCTATTTATTTACTATCCTTCCTAATTTTATTTACTATCCTTCAAACAACTTTTGAAACAGAAGGCATAAACAAATTTTTATATCACTTTAATCAATATAATTTTGAATGGAAAAAATCAAAAATTTGAAGTTAATCAGTGAAATAGTTTTTTAAAAATAAAAATACAATTTCTTTGAGATAATGGAATATACAAGAAATAAAAATTAGCATTCAGAGGCCCTAATTTTCGATTGCTTTCCTGCCATATTTTCCCCATCATAGTTTGAGGAACAAAATTCCATATTTATCTAAAAAAATGCTTGATTATTCAAAAAAAAATATGTTTTTGTGCCCAAATTTAAACTTAAAATATCGTTTGTGCAAATTATTTAGCATAGTTAAGGTTTGCTCCCCAAATCATTAAGAATATATCCTGATACTACATGAAAATTCAATCATTAGATTGAGTGTTATTAAGATGTTCAATTTTTTTTATTTTGCTCATTGCATGTACAATTGAAAAATTATTTTATTCTTCTCAACATGAATCAATGATATAATTTCTATACATTTTGTTCATTGAGATTTTATTTTTATTAATTTCCATGATATTTGAAAATTCTATTAAATTAAACGTCAATAAAAATTGGAGTGAGTTTATTAATTTAAAAACTAACAAGCATTAAAAAATCTCTAGGCAAAAGTTTTCCTTTTAATTAATGTTATTCAACTTTAAGGCAATACTTTTTCAACAAAATCAATGGAAGCTGTTTCTTTGCTTGATTTCTCAATGTCTTTATTCCCTTAACAGATTTGTCATCGCTATGCCCTATAGGTTTAAACACTTCCTAACTTTATTTTTTTTTGGCACCTTACATAAAATTTATATTAAATTGCCCTTTATTGATTATTATTTAAACCTTAGCATATCCAAACTAAAATAGCTGCTCAATATTTTACTGACATAAATATTAAATGCACACATTATTTTAACGTTTCAAAAAATTGATTTTTAAGTCAGGCAAAAGATATATTTTATCCCAATTATTAATTTTTATTCTAATTTATTAAAAATGTTTTGTCTTTGATTAATTCTTGTATGCTCCAATACATATATGGATGAACATTGCATTAACAGTTTCAATACCAAAATCAAAGTTTGTTTGCTTAAAAAATGACTTGTAACCTAATTGTATTGACATATATACCTAAAAAAAGATACATATTTTCTTATAGGTAGAATAATTATTATATTTTTCTTGAATGTATTACTTTCAATGAAAAAATTAAACACATATTGAATACTTTTACATAAATATCTTTGAACAAATTAAAACCATCTTCAATACTACTAGTTAATAAAATAAAATGAAACAAATATATGTACAAATGAACTTAAATAATTGTGACAATGATGAACAGGTGAACATTTCACGAAGACTATTATAGAATGAATATTTTTTAACATTATATAATTTGTTGTAATATCAAATTGATCTTAAAGTTTCTTACAACAGCATCAGGATATCATAAGTAACAATTCATTTAAAGCAATAGCATACGTATATCACTATCAAATATCACACAGTAATAAGTAATAAAAAAGTTCATTCTTCAGAAACTATTTTCATGACCAGTTAGGATGTAAAGATTAGAAGGACTTTTTGAATCATGAGTTGGTCTACTTTCAAGAACAACCACACTAGAAAAAAAAGAACATTTTTCTTAAGTATGCACTATATCTTCCAGTGCATAAGTTGACTTTTTGTATCCCTAAAATGCAATGAAAATTGGGAGGTCCATTTGTATACTGGCAACATATTTTGAAACAAAGTTTGATTTTCAAAATCAATTGCTTAGCATAAAAAAATAACCAAGTAATCTATACCATAAATATAAGCACAGGTAAAGTAATGCAATTATCACATAATTAATTGACATCAAAAATTCAGCAAAATCAAAACTAGATCAGAACATCGGAAGACTGAGCATTATTTTTCAAGAGTATAAGCAAAAATTGATTTAGGTTCAAGATGAATCAAGTTATTTTACAAATAAATTAATTTTGAAATGGAATATTAAGGTAAAAGCCTTGAATTATTTATTTAAATTGTTTTGTTAGTCAAAGCACTCACACATGGAGAAGTAAAACATTAGGAGATAAAGATTGTTAAACAAATTTTAAGAAAAAAACTTTAAAATAATAAGTCAAAATGGAAAAGCGCCAAATGCAGCTAAAGCCAAATTTGTTTTAGGTAAAAAATTTAAATAAAAAGTTCGAAACTGAAAACAACTGCTCCAGTGTGTTGCCTGATGAAGTACTGTTTTTGCTAACATATATATCTTTAGAATTTTGTTTTTGCTTGGTTTTGGTTTCTAACTTTTTATTTAAATTGAGATGAAGATTATATTATAATTTAAACTTAATTACATATAAAAAAAATTTTAACTCAATTATGAACTATAATTTTTTCTAAATAAAATGATGAAATAGTTTAGTTTAACAATGAATCAATTAAAATCAATCAATACAATTTTAAGGCAAAATTGATTATTTAAAATTAACTAGATGATTAGTATTTCTTTTATTATTTTTAGGTAGAAATGAAAGTTTAAAGTGCTTTTTTAAAAAAAAAAACCTTGAAAAGAATTTCAGAAAAAAATATCTTTTCATGGTTACTATTTCTAATAAAACTTACATATTTTTCTTAAAGTATTCTTTATAAATTTTTACTTAGGCAAGTTCTTATCAAATTATATTTTTATATCATTATATAAACAGAAATGACATAAAGTATTTGGTTCACTATTAAAAAGTTTCTTAAATGGTAAAAAAGGGTTATGAATTTTGCAAACAGATGATTAGATTTTTCAATTTTCTCTACATTTTAAGTTTAAAGAAAAATATAAAGATTGTAAAAAAAATATTCATTTTGGGAAAGATTGAATTTATATGATTTGCAGCTACAGAAAGTTATATATATCAGTATTTTAGTGAAATACAACTGATGCTATCCAGTTTTACATCTACATGACTTATTCACCTAGGTGTAACAGGTTTCAACTTATTGTGTATTGAACTAGTACACATGTTTGAATAGTTTTCAGTGATTTTAATCTTAAGTTAACATCTTGAAAAAAGGCTAAAAAAGATTAAAGAAAGTCAAATCAATCCTTTTCATATTTTTTTAGCATTTGTAGATTTTCCTTGTCTGTTGATGAGTTTTTTATTTTTAAATTTTCTTATTTCAAAATGTTAAGTTCTATAATTAAGTGTTTTAAATTTTTAGAATGTTTAAATTTCTTTTTTAATATACATCTTAAATAATAATTAGCAATTCTCAATCTTTTGACATTTTCGAAATATTATTTACATTAAAGCCACAGATATCTTGATACACTTACAACTGTAAAACATAAGCATTCGTTTCAGAACTATAATGTGATAATATAACCACAATTATCTTATGCAAAATCATATTAAATATGATAGTTTAAATCTAGTTTTCAAAAAAATAATAAGCATGAAATAAAAATGACTATTGATAAGAGACCAAAACACTTAATTTTCTTAGTTAGACACTAATATCACATTGTTTAATTAGCACATTACTTATATAAAATTGACATAGAGCGCTCTAATCAAAAATATAGCAAACTTTTTACTTACTATCTCATTTTTCTCGAATAAAATGTCTGCTATTAACATAAAAGTAACTGCTCTATTATTGGTCAGGAATAATTTGAACGTAGGCAAGTAAGTAAAGTAAGAAATTTGTAGAAAATAAAAGACTTAAGGAGCTATTTCCTTTTCAATGTATGCACCCATATTTTCTCTACACTTTTGTCATGTTGGTTGTTTAAGCAAGTAGGATAAACCCATGAAAGACAAGAGTTAATAAATCCCTGGAAGGTTAGTTTTACAGCCTTTTTGGAATAAACTTATTTTACGAATAAAAAGCTACCCAAATTCAGAAAGAAATGGTAGTCAGTAGGGGGATAGGTCTAGTGACTATGGAGGTGGATTAAGAAGTTTCAATTTCTGTAGTCTTGCCATAGTCATTTGTGTAGTGAGTGGTTTGGCATGATTTGTTATGACCAGTCTAGGGTAAAAAATTTTACACCATTTCATCTAGTTAGTTACAGTATGTTTTTATTATGACTAATGAGCCAGGTTTCATAAAACTATAATAGATCAAATATGCATTTAAACACCAAACATTCACAATGAACTTATGTTCAATTACATTTTGAAGTGTGTTTTGATGATTCATCCTTATCCAACCAGCACTGAAGCCAAACGCACAAAGAATATTTTCTATGGTCAGCCATGCTGCAGATCTACATAAGAATTCAACTGCAAATTTCTGACCATACTTTTTTCAAACAAATTAACTTTTTAAAAAAATGGTTTTCAAAATTTTTCAGAGCTTACAATGATTTCTTTAAGCATGGGAGATATGTAAAAATTAAACAGACGAAAAAACATGGTAAAATATTAAACTAATGTCAAATATAAATAATAAGCTGCTGAAGTTCGGATATTCACCCAACAAATTTCATCCCTATATAACTAAATACAAACGTCATACATAACAATGCATAAAAAACATTATAAATGTTTCTATTGCATTGAAAACTTAAAATGTTTTTGAGCCATTAAAAAAAGTGGTAGTTTAATCAAATTTCTTTCAATTTGCATAGGGATCTAAACTGGTCAAACAGTCTGATAAGAAAGTCATCGAGATTCATTTTATCAGTCAGCAAGCTTATTTAAATTTCTATAAATATAAAGTTTTACACAAGAGCATATAATGCAACATTTACCTGTCAGCACCAAGTACCCGAAATATCCGACTGGAGTCACTGATCTCTTGAACAATTTCATTATTTTTTAGACTTCGACCTTGCATCCCATGCTTATGAAAAGCTAGGACGCAATCTGTTAAACAGACTGAAAAGAAATATAGAGATATTTTATTTCTTTTTTTCTACCAAAAAAAAGCAATCAAGACATTCTTTAATAACTTTTTTGATAATATTAACAATACTTTTACACCTCAGATTCAATTGAAATGTGAAAATTATTGGAGCACTTCATTAGATGTGTATGTCATAAATAGAAAGTATGCACATACATATATATAATATTTATTTTTAAATTAATGCATTATGAATTGCTTTTAAATATACTGGTTGAATACACAGCATACAACAGCTTCATCCCATTATACCTTCATAATTTGTACTTTATAGTCACATTAACAACAAATTAACGCATATACATAGCAGTTAAAATGTTAATGTGTATGTCAGATTTGCTGTCCACAAACTGTAAGAAGATTGACTATTTGAGAGCTCATTTTGATATGGGGATGTCATTGTATTGAAGAATTATTATTGGCATAAAACTTTCTTTCTGCACACTATAGTCTTTTTTTTTAACCTTTTTTGGTTTCGGTTTCAATACATCCCTATTTTAATAAATGCCCTTATATTATGATTTGGTCTTCAATCAATTTCTTAGCATGAACTACCAGGGAATTCTACTTTTCAACTAATATGTGAAAAAGTGAATGAAGAATAATTTTTACTTGGTAGAGTATAATACATTATTAAAGTATGAGATTTTTTCAAAAAATTATAAATCATTCATTTTCAAAAATCATTCTTTTTGGTATTTGGTATCAAATATCATGACATGATTATGTCAAAAACTTGGAACTGTTTGTTAAAATTTTACAAAAAGGCATTTAGCTTAAACTTTCAATAGCTGTTGTTGCTCAGTTGGATTAAAAAATTACTAAATAATATAATGTTTTACAATCAATCTATTTTTAGAGCAAACTATATTTTATTTGCATCAATCTTACCTTTCCACATCATACAAATGTTTTAAAAATAAACTGCTCCGTATAAAAAATGTCAGTTTTTCAAATAAATGAATGAAGTTAATTAATAATGAAGTAAAAAAAATTTTTCATGTCAAAAATGATTACAAATGAGTGAACAAATTTACAATATACAATATAGATAAAGATTAGAAAGATCTACTTTGTCAATACTTCAAGAAAAAATGAAGAAAAAAAAGAAAGAAAATAAAGTTGCCTGCAGCAAACTTTTTTTAGTTTCATTATTTTAAATGATGTTGGTTAAAAACTTCGACATGAATTTCAATGTAAGACTTCTGTCTAAATATTACTTTAAAAAATTTTTGAAATGATATAAGAGTTGAGACACAAATCATAGCAAAAAAGATATTAAGATACAATATTGGTAATGAATCTTTCAAATAAATTGATAAATAACACTAGTTTTTCATTAACATTGTATAGCATTATGATAACAAGTTTTTCTTATCTTACCCATTGACTCAATTCGAAAATCAAAATGAAACTCAGAAGGTTGGTGGCCAGACTTTAACTTTCCTTGGGAATTAACAACTCTGATAATATCTAAAGAACAAAAATAAATTAAAAAAGCAGAAAACTTTCAGTAACAATTAAATTTCTCAAATAGGTATATGATTATATTTTATCCCTCCAAAAAAAAACTTCCAAAAAAAAAATTTTTTTAGAGGGGGGGGGCGAGAAATTGAATATTTTTGGAGATACTTTTAGAATTTTGTGTGTACAGTTGATAAGGAGAAGGTTTACCTTATATTTGAAATAAAGTTTTAGTTGATTTTAAGGCAACAAATTAAGTGCCACAAACCTAACTCAAAGTGGAGACTTTCAGACATAAAAAAAAAAATCTAACTTTTTTTCACCTTTGAAAAGGAAGTTTCTTCCACAAAAAAATGAGCTCTGCAGACATATTTCTTAAAATATTCAGAGCTATGCACTGTAATTCAAAAGATATTCAAAAAGAACCTAAAAATACACAAAATTAAGCCATTTCATAGTTTATCTCACTTAATTAGAGGTGACCATTAACATGAAATCAGAACCATAATCTACCTTCAATTTAATAAAACTTTCCTTAAAATAAATAATTTTTTTTTCATTGACAAATTCTGATTTTTTAATATGTGTGAGGAAATAAAACTTTGCCTTAGTCCAAAAGCTTCCAATCTATGCTTCACACTTGATTAAATTATTTGTGCTCTTAGTATCTTAATATGCAGCCAAAATAGACACTGTAGTTAACATCTTAGGAAGCCGCTTAGCTCCCTGAAGTTGTGTACGTACTTTATCCTTAAATGGAGGTTCAACTTCCAGCTTGGATACTAGCTCCCTGAAGTTGTGTATGTACTTTAGCCGATAAGATTAAGCTATCAATCTCAAGATAGACTAAATGGAAGTTCAACTTCCAGCATGGATACTACAATATTTACTCCATTCCTTCAATACATGAGAATCTCCTGCTCCTTTCAAATGGAGATTCTGGTTCATTGAAACATGCAACCCTCTCAGGAAGACATAAATAGCAGCACCACAGGAAAAAAAATCTAGTTCTCTCTCACTCTCAAGCTAGATGGTACCAATAAGATCAACTATTTAAGCTATATTTCCCATTTCTTTAGACAAAACTTAAATTAACAGTAGCCAAGTTCTAATGTTAAGTCACCAAACTACACTGAGATACACTAGTGATACAAAAAAAAATCAAAGCTGCAGTCTACTCAACTGTGTACTTTGCTTATTGGAGGGGAATTGAACCTTAAATATGCTAATTAATTACAGCGGACGATATTTTAAGCAAGAAAATCAGACACCAAAATGTACTTTCGTTGATTAAACATACCTTATTTGGGATTTGGATTTCGATCTTAAAAAATATAGGAAGTAGCTCCAATTTGGAAAATATGGTTTCAATAGTTTGTTCAGAACAGCAGTCAAAAGCTTGAACCCCTTAATATTCATTTTTTTTTTTTTTTAATATTTTGCCATGTTTTGGAAATTTTTTAAGCAAACCAAAAAATTTTGCACACAATTATAAAACTTGTTCATCCAATGATTTTTTGCATACGAAAAATCCATGCAAAAAATCATTTTTAATTACTTATTATTTCATTCAATAATTGTTGAAAATAATTTCATTCAAATCTTTACATCATTCTAAAGATAATCTATTTTTTAACAGTTTTTGTGTCAGATTTCATTATTTAATTAACATAAATTATTTAGCATTATGAGGCAATAAGTTTAAGTAATAAGTTATGAATATCGTAACTTATTACTTAAAAATTTCTTCATTATAGAACAAATGCTATTTAGATTGTTTCCTGCATTGTTTTGAAAAATATATTTTAATTTTATCAATGATAATTCACAGTAATGAATTAACACCAAATACTTCATCAAAGTCGATTGAAAGTATTATTTTTTTAAATACAAAATTGGCAAAGAAGTCAACAACCTCGAGTTATTATTTTTAGTTAATAGTAAAGAAAAGTAAAATCATCAAGTAAAATAAAAATGTTAAAGCATATAAAAGTGTTTCAGCATATAGAAATACTTGTATTTCAAAAGGATTAATCATAAAAGTTAAATTTTGCTTCTATTTTACTCTAATTAAGGTTAAAATTACTCCAAATAAATACAACTCTGTACATTTTCCTGAACTGCTGGTTTCCAATTTCTCTTTCTGGAAACGTTGTGCGGAAAGCCGCATTTAACAAATCAATTCACTTCACTCCCATTTACAACCTACCTTTCAAAAAAGATCTTTAATTTTTGTCACAAACAGAAGGTCTCTGGTCATGCTAGCCTCATAACAAAAATGGCTTGACTACGGTTAAAATTAATTTTGGCAGTCTTTCAAGATTTTCTTATGTTAATCTATATCAACTAGTTAGAGGTTTGAATAATTTAACGAAATAAAAATTGCAAATACTACATGACTCTTTACTCAACTTAGTATTTTCTGAAGGAAAATAAAGATTTATGAATAAAATAAAAATGAGATATACTTGAATTACAGTTCTGCAACAGCAAAAAAGTTCTAAAAGTATAGCTTCTAGTAAAAAATGGCCAGAACACTGTTCCTCTGCATTCCAATCTCAATGCTATTCTTTTAAAAGTAAATTTAAAGACAGCAAGAGAAAGTCTTACTTAATTTGTTTTTAAATCTTTAGCATGACTTCTAAGAGTAGTTCTATATTTTATTTACTTCTTCTATACTTAAAGCTTTTATTTTTAAAAAATTAAAACTGGTTAATCCTCATGCCATATTTTACCAAATTACATGCAAAGCGGTTAAAAACTATATAAAAGGATGCTAGTAGTTTCAAGACAAAAAAATTCAACTTACTATCAGAACAAACTAATAATGTATCTTTTTCAAGCTGTGAAATACTAATAATACTAAGCAAATCTTGTCGTGAAACAACAGTCCTGGTATCATCGGCATCTTTTCCAAACCAACTGGAGGTAGAGTTTAGATTAATCAGATTCAGTTTTAAGTCTCCTCGATCATACCTAAAATATAAAACAGAATAAAATCATAAACATTAGAAACAAAATACTAATAAACATAGTTCTTAAGGTTAAACAATCAGGACAAAATGGTCATTATGACTAGACAAACAAAATAAAATTAGATTTATAACATGAAAAATCCAAGGATTTCTAATATGCTTACCCTTTGTGAACTTCTATGCATATAACAGGATATTCCATTTCCGGTGATATTATCATTTCAAACACTGAAAGTTTTGAAGGCAGCAAACACTCAAATTGCTAAATACAACATCAAAGAATCAGTTTGTAAATAAAAATAAAAGGAAAGATGAGTATCTAAAGTATCTAAAGATGAGTAAATTTTATGAGTATCTAAAGATGAGTAAATTTTAAAGGAAAAATAAATATAGTCAAAAACCCGTTTTTATCTAGAATAAAAAATTAAAAAATAAAAAAAACCTTTTTGATATCACAAAATCACAGGAAGGCACAAAAGAAAAAAAAACTTTGGATATCAAAATTTGTGTTTCTAAACTCACAATAATTTTATTCTTTTAAGTATTAAATGTGTAAATAATTTATAACTAATATAGAATGTCTTAAATTCAAAAATAAGGAAGACAAAATTATCTTAGGAATAATTAATTTCGGTACAATGCAAGGAGGCCATGAAACTGCATTTATATTAAGCATCAATTATATATTAAGTACATATTATGTATTTCCATAATATAGTAGAAAACCGATTATCCGGAACGATCGGGACTATCGCTATTCCGGATAACTGATTTTTCCGGTTTTCTGAATCGCTACAAAAAGCCGTTTTTTTAGTGTTAAACCCTGGANTTCTGAAATGATGGTAAGGTAAACATCTTTCAAAAAAGAAAGAAAAATCCTAAAATCTTATGAGGAAAAAAAAAATGTTTTTTAAAAATTGCGGGAAAATTTATCGAATTTCGTTCCGGTTTTTTGGTTTTCCGGTTTTCTGATTTCCGGATAACGGGTTCTGTACTGTACCAGAAGCACCTATTACTATAATTAAAAAATCATCACTGGCATCAATAATAGTTGAGCAATTTTTTACGAGCCCCTTAACTATATAAGTATCTTAATTTATTATGAATGCATTTACTCACCTATTTTTATAATCTGATATTACAACTGCATATTTTTCTCAGTTCATTAAAGGATTTCAAAGTTGACATAGCATTAAAAGTCTCATTGAAGCCTTAGATTAAATAAATGTATTTGTGGAGAATATTTTTAAGTTTCATTAAATAAATTGAACAAAAAGAGCCACTACTAATTATTTATTGTCAATATTTAAAAATAAATAATGCAGTGGCAGAAAATATGGAACACTTGGCACTGGCAAAACCAAGGGTATATACTAAAAAATTACCCTTTATTAGATGTATTTTTAAAATTTTCATGCATATCACCATCCTGAAAATTATTGACTACCAATAAAAACTGATTACTTCAAGTGAAAACAATCTATTATTATCAAACTATTATTATTTTTATAAAAATCATAGGCATTATAATTTTTATTCATAAAACTTTTTACAAAAGCAAACTTTTAAAATTTTGTTTAGAATTTCTATATATTTTATTTCTGGAATATTGTTATAATTATGAAATAAATTACATAAAACATGTAAAAAGGTTAGAAATTATTTAACATTAATTGTAGGGTCAGAATATATCTATATATAATAATAATAATGATGATGAAATAAAAAAACAGCAACAAAACTATAATGACTTACTTTTAAAAGCATAAATTTGTTCAAAGGATTATACCACTGCATTAAAAATAAGCCATTAGGAACAGCTCCACATAGATATTTATAACCATTATAAGGATTTCGTCCAATGCAACACTTAATGCAGCCTTTTGTATCAGGAACTTTAGTTGTAGTTGAAAATCGCCTGAAATTCAATTTGTTATTAATAAAATTAATTTTCAGGGAACTATTTACATTCACACAAATTATACAATCTACAAAAAAAAAATGATAGAATGTCTTTATTTCATCAATCAAAGAATGGAAAAATTATAAATGCACATGTTAATAAAAGGGTGAAGAAGTAGAAAATTTATAGATATTACAGATAGTTTTTTCTTTTCTTATTATAATCAGAAGTTCATTATTGTCTTCCTTTAAGTTACATAATTTCACGAAGATACGCCACGTCATTTATCATTTAAAACATTACATTTTGGTATGTGCGCCCTATCTACGGCTTATCCAGAGAGGGTATTTTTTACTACTTGCGATCGAAAATTCTATTTTGTTGAATTGATTCCCCAAATTTCAATATAACTCTTCATCTTTTAATCTCTTACAGCGATCTATATTTATACTTTACAATCAACAGGGCTTCAAGTGGCAAAAAATTGGTATTGGAGCAACAAAAAAGCAATTTTGGAGCAGCAAAACAAAGATTTGGAGCATAGTTAATAAATAGAATTAAAACAAGAATTTAATAAAAAGAATTTTTAATTTTGTTCATTAATGACATATCTTATTTTTTACACTTTGTTGGAAGGTCCCTGCATTAACAAATTAAGTTTCTTTTTGGTACCTTCCAATGCTGTTAAATATTCTGCTATCCTCGACTTAGCCTCAGATAAGAGGATCTGTCCGCTTTCTATAATCAATATGTCTATTATTTTACCCATCTTTAATATTTTGTTCAGCTGCGGCTAAGAGATCCTGAGAAGCCTTCAATTTTTTTTACAAATCAATTTCAGTAGCTTTCAATCTGCTTTCCTCAGTCTCAGTGTTTTTCGCTTTTTGCTTTCTTTTTTCTCAACCTCTAATCGAGCAGAATAATTTTTAAATGCTACACGAACCACTTTAATCATATCTTTGTCAACTTTAAAGTTATTTAAACCCCTATTTTATTGATATATCTAGTAACAAAGTGATCATCTAGTAACAAAGATGCCTCTCCAGGCTATATAATGGATGGGGTTACTGTTGCCAGATATCTTATTGACTTAATAGAAGCTTCTTCCATTCTCATTACAGGATGCAACACTTTAAGAAGGTACAGTAATCTATTTTTAAGAGGCAATACTTTTAATAAATTTTTTGCGCATGCCAAGTAAAAAGACCTGGCACCTAAATACATAATTTTTTTTCTGAAGAAGATAAGGATGTCATCGCCTTTGGTATCTAGTCCAACATCTATTAAATTCTAATTTTGCCAAATTTCTGCATTTTCTACATCCAATGATTTTAAGTCCTTTCCTGACAAACATGAAAAGCAGAACTCTTCAAGAAACGCCCTAACAATGCTTTAACTAGGAACACCATTTCATCACACAGCAAGTGAATCAATGGTGTTTCAGTTTTTAAAAGACCTAAAAATTTATTTAATATTGCCGAAATATTTCTTTAAAAAAAAGAGCTTTTGTCAAAAGAAATTTAAATAAATTCAATACTGAATGGCTCATACTATTTTTTAAATTAATAATTGCTTTATTTAATTCTGTAAAAGGTAATTCAAAACTGTAATTAATTTTACTATTATTTAAGGTTATCGAGTGTAATTTTCTTAAAATTTAAATAAATGTTATTTGTAATAGTACATTCAACAAAACATTAACAAGATTAATATTGATCATACCAAATTTATAAAAATATGTAAAGAATTAAGCAAATTAAGCAAACTTTAATAAATTTATATTACAAATGTAAATTAGTGAATGGCCCCTAATAATTTTTTATTGAATTTTAATTCAAATTGGTTACTTATAAAGTATTTCATTAATGAAATGATTAAAAAAAATTTAATAATTTTTAAATGCAAATACAATGAGTATTGAAGCTAAAAAAAGTTTGTCAGAAGTAAATTATTATATTGTCTCTACACTCATAATATTTAACAAATCTGTGACAATTAAAATTTTTTACATCAATTGTTTTAAATCAAATCATTAAAAGATGAATTGAAGTACTTTTGAATGAAAAATCTTAAAAACATAAAATTTTTTGCTGCATTTAAAATATTGAAACCCCCTCTCTTCATACTTATTTAAAATCTTGCCTCTAAATATTATTAAGTAATTTCCTAAAACAAAATAAGAGCACCGAAAATTTTGAAGGTAATAATACAATAATAAAATACAATAAGTAAAAAAAAATATTAGTAAAAAAAAGTAATAAAGTAAAATAATTGTTTAAAAACAATATGCAATTAGTGGATGGTCCCTCAGATAAAAAATTTACTGTATGAAACTCAATTAATTCTTATCTTTATTAAATGAAATAAATAAAAGGGAGATGGAAAGTTTGAGGTTATGAAGCTTTGTGATTCTTGACTGTTCTGAGGATCAACATGAAAATATGTACTTAGTGGATGGTCCCCTAGTTAATTCAAAGATCATGGTACTAATCTATAAATAGAATAGCGCAAGAAGGCTATTAGCTTGCCATTGACGAAGATGATGGCACTTCAATAACGATGAAATCAACAAGAGAAAAAAAAATTTCTTATGCTATTGAAATTTGGCAATGTTTAGTTGGTCCCCGAAAATTTTTTGGCGCAGACTCGGCGCAAATTTAACATAAAATGCCGCTTCTGCTCAGTAATGCGCAAATATACCGATTTTGCGCAAAAAGGCGCAATGTGCGCAGCACTTGAAGCCCTGAATCAATTATAATTTAAAGAATTAACAATGCAGGTGAAAAACAGTGAGCAAGAATGTAACAATAACCTAGTAGTCGCTCTCAGTTTCCACCAAAGAAGTCGTTGACGAATTCCCCGCCCGCAATCACCCCGTGAATAGTCTCTTACAAAAATCGACGCAAGTACAATTATCCCTTTCCCTTTCTTCTGCTGCAAGTATGAAGAAAAAAAAGTGAAAGAAAAATATGCAAGTCATTCTCTAAAATGAATGTGTAGTGAAATGCTTAAAAGTTCTATCTTGAAGGTCAAGCTTATCCCCACTTTCACTTCTGGAAGGTCAACTTCATTATTTTTACTCGTATTATTTGTTATTCATATTTATTATTCCACTTCATTATTTTTACTCATATCTGAGACTCGGAAATTTATGATTTTGAAATTTAGAGATGTTTGAGTAAAATGATGCAACATGATGAAAACATGGAAAGAACTGGAGTATGTGAACTGCTTCATTTATTCTGTATTTTTTTATTTTAAAAATGTTTAGCTGTTTAATCATTTGATATATTTATAAATGGGATATTATAAATTAATTATAAAAGAAATAATGCATTCTCGATGCTTTAGTTTTGTGCAAAACGAGATTATTTGTTTATTTTTCTTATCTTACTCTTAAAAATTATTTCAAAGGTTTAAAGCTGTTTATCATTTGGTAGGTAAAACTTTTAGAAATTTAAAATTAGTAAAAAGAAACAGCATGCGTTCGTGATAGTTTTGTGTAATACATTTTTGCGCAAAACAAAATTTTTTTAGTTAATAATTATTAATACTTTTTTGAAACGAGATTATTTGTTTATTTTTCTTATCTTACTCTTAAAAATTATTTTAAAGGTTTAAAGCTGTTAATCATTTGGTAGGTAAAACTTTTAGAAATTTAAAATTAGTAAAAAGAAACAGCATGCGTTGGTGATAGTTTTGTGTAATACATTTTTGCGCAAAACAAGATTTTTTTAGTTAATAATTATTAATACTTTTTTGAATTATTGTAAGGATTTTTAGCTGTTTTATCATTTGATTTAATAATACTTAGGTATTTCAAATCAAATTACGATAAAGCAACATGATGCTATCAAAACTGTTCTATTTGGTACAATTTAACACCTGGTAAGATTTTCATCAATTTATTGTATTTTGATAACTTATTTTAGTTATATTTAGGTTATTAATCACTTGGTTTACACAAAATTTAAAGTATTTTATTTTGGTATTTATTAACGTAATGCCTTTGTGATCATGTTGCATTTGAATTGCCCTCAATTGTATATGGTACAATTTTGTGTACATTTGAAAAGTTGTGATGAAAAGTTGTGATTTCTGGTTTTTAGTAAGATTGCATATAGTAATTTATCGTATGTTTGATAATTATTTCATGATTTTTAAATGCTTCATCATTTACTTGTATATAACTTGTTATTTGAAGCAGATGTGCTAAATCCGCGATCGATCACACTATAAAGTCTAGGCGGCATATCTGATAGTGTGGCTTTTATGATGAAAAACTTTTCCTTTTCAGTCAAATTTAATGGGTGTGCCATATTTCCCAGGGCAGCATATATCCACAAAATTACGGTAAGAAAAATTAAAACATCTTCTGAAGTTCAAATTTATTTTATTATACGAAGAATTTTGTAATTTCTAAAAATTTAGAAAGTTTTAAAATTCAGTTTAATTTTTTAGTTTACCCAGCATTTTGTTATCAATGAAGTTTACTATTATGCTTCTAAAGTTCATTTATTTTAAAAAGTAAAACAAAATTGAAATTAAGAATATTTTTGCTTTATTTTTTTTACTGTTACAGATTTTTTTTTAACAAATAATCTCATTCAATATTTTTTGTAATTTATTATGTTGACTTATAAGTTAATAAAAGTAAAAATAAATTTAATTCTGTAAAAAAATAATTGATCAAATGAAATCATTTTAATTTGAATAAAGTAGTTGAAACAGTTTTTTAATTTTCACAACCAATTTCAACAAACTGTTCTAATTTCTACAACCAGGATTTTAATTATCTTTATATAATAGCTTTTCTAATAAAGAAATGGTAACTAAAACTTTTATAGTGAAATAATCTTCATATTTTATAGATTAATGCATGTCAGTAATTTTATTCAAGCATCTATTTTTCTTTGTATTTCTTTATGAGAACACTATTGTTTCAGAATACTTGTTGTTCAAAAATTATACTTGAGCTTTCTAATGTTACTTATTCATTTTCCTATTCTTTCAGATATAACTAGCAACTTTCCAGTTCTCATTGATAATTGTTTTATCCTTCCCTTAGCAAAGAGCAAATAAAAATGATTAAATCAGCATTAATTATGAGTGCATATGAAAAAGAAAATTGTGTCTCGTATCATTTTTCAAAATAATAAGCTGATTTTAAAATTTTAATACAACTGATATGGAAATTTTGGTTTTAATTCTATATCAAATTACTACTAAATCAATTGCATTTCTATTATTCTTTTCCACTGATAAAATATTTACTTGCTATGTTAAATTTTACAAAAACAAATTTATAATATTATAAACTGAGACCCATATACAGTTAAAAAGGACCAAGAAATTGTGGTGATGATTTGGGTGATGCATAGTGGAATATTAAATTGAAAAATGTGTTGGGTAGTTACCAAAAATAGGGCAGCCAGTTAAAAGTGGCTATGAATTGAATTTTAAAATATTTAACAACTATAGTCTAATCCCAATTCATTGCCATCACAAACACATTCAGCAGAAATATAAGTATAAAGTTTGGCTAGAAATAAGAATCAAAAAAATTTAGTTTATTTTAAGAAAATTTTAATGTTGATTATTATTATTATTAAACGCTATCACTACATGAAGTTGACCATATTGCAGAACATGAGGCAGACTGAAACTCATAAAAAACTACACAAATTGGTTTTGATACAGCAGTGCATCCAGGAAAAATATATCTAAAATATGCAGTAAAATATAAATAAAAGAGACTGTAACAAGCAAGTTGTAGCAACACTGCAAAATTTAGAAGACCTGGCTTCTAACGGCCATTATCCAGGCACTTTCCAAAATCTAGCATAATTACTGATACCAATACTGCTTGTATTTTAAGTACATAAGAAAACTTTATACTGTTCATTGGTTTGAAATAATGTATTGAAAAATAAGACAGAGTAAAGTATAAAGCAACTAATTAAATGTAATAAAACCAATTCTTAGAAAAAATTAAAAAATGGTAGTGTAACTTTTTCATATCTAGCTTGTTTTCAAGCAGAGTAAAATAATTGTGGATATTGCAACTCATGAAAAGTTATAACAAACAAATTGAACTGTTTCCTCTTGACAAGTTAGAGATGAAAAGGTTTTAAAACCATTTTTTTTTCTTTTACAGGAAATTAACAGCCCTGATTAAATAAAAAATAAAATCTATAAGATATACTAAGTTACCTGGGGACAAATCTTTCAGGTATTTTGTTCATTGATAAAGAAAACCTGTGAGTTTGTTTGCTATGTAGGGCTAACAGATCATGACGATACAAGTGGGACGTTTTGCCTACAAAATTAAAAAAATTCAATTAGCATACTTTAGAGAAGAAGCTGAAATTAACACATAAGAATATAATGAAAATCTGTATAGTGTTACCTGACAAAGTCATTAAAACATCTTTAACTATAAACATCCATGTTGTTCTCCTAGGATACAACTGAAATAAACATTTATATTGCAAGTATTAATAATTTTAAATTTAACTTAGATATAAGCTCCAGGAAAGGAACATACACTTTAAAAGACAAAATAGTTCTAGAAAGTTTAAATGGGATTTAAATTAAAATCATAAAAGTAAATTAATAGGAAAAGCATCAACACTTTTTTTGTGTTTAAAAGGTACTTAATCAGTTTTAAAGGCGGTAACAATATAAAATCATCAAACTATCATTGATATCAATGATGCCTAATTGTGGTAATAGGCACTGTGGAAATAGATAACTAATATAGGTATTGTAGAAATATGTCTTTTATGGCTCTCTGGATAAGTACTATTAAAACATCTGTTTTTATCAGACATTCATTTAATAAAACATTTTAACTACTATTGTAATCATTTTTACAATCAACTTTTAAAACTGACAGTTTTAATCTCGACCAATATACATCAAATATCAAATTATTTATTTTATAGAGTTATTTTTATAACTAAGTCCCCTACTGAAGAACTTATTTTAGTTAGTAGCTATTTTGATACCTGAAATTCTATATTTGTTCGATATTTCTGTTTATCCTGTAAGATTCAGGTGCGCAGTAAATATTTTTATGACTTTATTAAATGCAACCTAGCCATACTGATTAATACTGTTTTTTAAAATGCTACTTATTATCATACTGATGTGTTAATAGAAGAAAAAAGAAACCTTAAATGAGACATTATTACAAAAGAAAATAAGTTTATTAGCTGTTTCGAAAGTTCCTTATTTATTGAACTCTCGTACCACTTGCAGGTACTTAGCTCTTACTAGAAATTAAACTTAAGTTTGCACTAAAAACTAATATGAAGATTTAATATTCTGCTAAATTTTGATAATTGGTAAAAACATAATGTTTTTTTTTAAAGAGGATCATTAATGCAAAAATTATTTTTAAAAAAAAATAATGAATTCATCCCTAAATCTACCATTTAGAAAATTCTTCATTAGAAAATTATTGAACGTTAAATGGTATTTGATAAAAATAATTTAAAATCAACTGTACAAAGATATTTATTGAATATTTTGAAACAAAGAATCTCCATCATGCAAGGTTTGTTTTAGTACTGCCACTTTTAAATATAGTAAATGTAGGAACGGCCTCTCAATTTATCCATATAAGATTTCATGCTTAACAAATTAAATTAATAAAGTTTTTCTTTTGAGAAAATTACTCAAGAGTTCTAAAAATTCTGATAAACATTTCAGGAAGAATAAAGAATATGCTTCAATCACTTTAGTATATTTTGTTTATCCTTAGTTAAACATTAATTTTTTGTTACCTTTGTGTTAATTAAATCAAATTCTAAGATGTAAAGGTTAAATGTTATACAACACATTTGTTTAATATTTTTAGAGAACTGAGAGTTTCAAATGAAAATCAGAAGTCATTGTTCAAATCTTACAATTGTGTAAAATAAAAAATTCTTGAAAAAAAAAATTAATACAGAAATTTGTTCTGTTTCTTAAATTAATTTTGTCCATATATAAAACCCCATCAAATGATTTATCAGACTTTTTATATATATGCTTAAAATAAATATATATAATGGTGGTAAATATCATATGAAATCAAATTTTGATTCTCAGCAATTTTGCTATTACTTTAAAATATAAAACTAAAATCTTCCATAAAAGTGAAAGAGTCTGGAGCAACATAATATAAATAAAATAAATAAGTCACTGAGTTTTAAAAACCACACAACTGAGAGTATAGGAACTTAATCTTACTTCTAAATGACATGTTACTTTTGGGTATTTCACTGGGGATGTACAAATCAAGAAAGAAAAAAATTTAACCTTAAAAGGTATGTTTCCTTTTATCTTCCTTGTCTATGTTTCAATCTATTTGATCTTAATTTCAGCTTATTATACAATGCATAAATTTATAAGTAGTGCATAAAAACAGTGTAACTTTTATAATGACAATTATATAAAACTAAAAACTTAAATAAAATAACAATTTTTTTAACATTGCAGATAATATATTTTTTATTGACAATGAACAAAAGATCTCACTAACCTGATCCATGCAAGCATCATGAAGTTCATTCACATTTAAAGTATAAATGCCTTCTTCACATCCAAATAAAATATGCTGATCTGATTAAAAATATAGGTAATAAATGTATTTGCAGCAATACAAAATGGAATCAATAGTACAAAATAATTTATTTCCTCTAGCAGCAGAAAACTTAAAGTAGCAAAAAGAAAATATATACCTCTTGTTTCTGGGTGTATCCAAGTTGCAGTACAATGAATTCTTAAAGGACATTCATTGAACACTTTAGAAAAACAGGCACCCATCTAATAATAATAAAAGAATGATTCAAAACAATTACAGTATAATTTTCACACTGAATATACTGATAAGAAGTAAGCCTTCAACTTACATGAACTTTTGGAGTAGGAGGTAGTCCATTGCTTACAGGTTTCTAAGAAAAGTACATAACACAGAAATTTATTTTAAAATTATATTAAAGTAAAATTGAATAAAAGCTGTATTTTGAATAAGTAAAATACATTTAAGCCCAATATATTTTATATGTATGGTGTATAGGAAAGTATGCATGCCATACAGAATTGTAATAAATTTTAAATAAAACATATTTTTTACCCCAATACTTAAATGTCACACCCCACATCTCTGCATTCATAAAATAAAAGCTAATAGCATACTGAAATTTAAAAAGAGAAGACTAAAAAATTAGTTAAAAATCTGCTAAAAGTATAAATCCTTCACTTCATTAAAAAAAAATAAAGCATAAATCAAAGAGAAAATTAAGACTTTCTTATTTATATATTCTAGACCTGATAGCAATAAAATGTCTGGGAGTTAAGATATCTATTACAATCTTAATTTCATAGCTTACTTACAGGTGACACAGTTTTTTTCTTATTTCTTCGGCGAGGAGGAGCTTGTGGTGGCAGCTTTTCTTTTTGGCTGTTTTCCTTGTCATCATCTTCACTAAGAGTATTATTATTCTGAGATTTTGACAACAATCTTGGACTACTTGTTGGAGTTATTGAACAATTTTGTTGCAAAGATGATATGGAATTTTGAGGTTCTTGTTCTGTTAAAAAAATGTATTAAAAAAAATGTACGAAATCAATAAGGTCCAACAATTTAAAAAAATTCTTTATTTCTCTATAAATATAAGAAGTCATGTCCAAGGCATGAAATTGCAAAATAAATATTATAAAATTGACAATATTCTATTCCATGTAAGAATAATGATAGGCATTTTTAATGAAGGTAAAATTAATAGAAAATAATTGAAAGAATATTTATAAAAAGTTTGAAGTAAAACTTAACTTATTTTCAGAATTAATATTAAGAACTAGATGGTTACAAAATTTCCCCATCTAACAACGTTTTTCTTTGGAAAAACATAGCAATCAGGTTCAATACAGTTCAGAGTTAGTTAAATTGCTAAAATTATTAAATTAACTCTCCAACTTTGTTAATGAGAGCAATTCAATATTATAAACTGAAATGAAAACTAATTCTTGCTAACCACCATCTGCAAATAGCAGGTTCTCTTAAAATATTACACTTTAAATATGTACAATGAAACTGATAACTCAAATTCACATAGGGTGTCAAAAATGCAATGTATTAACAAAATCTGAACTAGTAGAAATTTAAACTACTAATTTTTTTAATGAAAACAGGTCAAATATTCTTAAAAGATAATGACAGGAATCATTGGAGGGATAATTAGGGTCATTAGGATTAACAGTAGGATTCATTTCGATCTAAAACAATGAAATAACAGAAACTACATAAAATATTTGAATTTTTATAAATAATCACTTTGAACAAAGTCAATCTAGATTTCCTTTCCACTATTATTAAAACAAATAATTAACTCATGCAAATAAGTATATATTTTAAAAACTTTAACTCATACCATTTCAAATTAAAAAACTATTCCAAAAAACCATGAGAACTAAATAAACTGTTCTTAGAATTTTGATAGAAGTTTTACCTTGAGAAAACTGATTAGATAATTCATCCATGAATCTGGACAGTCTGTTCCGAGGTTTTTCTTCGGAATTGTCTGAGTATAAAAATTTTCCTCTATTTCTATAGAGATGGTCAGAAACAGATCGTGCTCCAGAATCAATCTAAAATTATTTTTGATTTCATTAAAAAAAATTCACAGGTTTATCAGCAAGAAATTAAAGACAAAAGAATTAAATAGAGAGAAAAGAAACTAAATTGATCAAATTCTGAAAATAAACATGTTTTATAATTTAATAGACATTTTCAATTAAATATGTACTAAAAATGTTATTTACAATGATGTCATAAAAAATTTTAACCTTACATTAAAAGTAAAACTTTTTATACACTTGCTACAAAAAATTTAATGATTGTAATCTTAGAAGCAGAATTAATGTAACATGGAACAGATTATGCACAGATTAGTTTTTACCTTGTAGCCAAAAATAAGTTAATACAAATTACTTATCATGGGCTCTACAGATCAATTTTAGAGTTTTTCCTTGGTGTTGAAGATAAATACAAAGGTTTCTGCTATTGGGATTATAATTATTTAATTTTTATGCCATCAGTATTTACATACTTATAAATATCATTCATAAATATCTTATAATACAGGGTTGTTACAATTGAAGTTATCAAATTTAGACCTATGTAAAGTTCATTCTAGTCTAGATGTCAATAAAAGCTTGGTATGTATGAAATTGGAAAAATAAGAAATAAGCAGAACAAATTGTTCATTCATATTTTGACCACCAGGTGAAAAGTGGGCATGCATAAAGAACAAAAACACAATATTTAATTTAATCACAGTGTATATTCAATATGCATTCCATTTGCATCAAGCACATCTTCAAAAGGCATAGCAGGCAATCTTTGAGTTGTCTGACGGTGATTCTTTTTAGTCATAGAGAAACAAGAAATGAAATGACAATTGCAGACAACAAAGTTGTTGTAAGGATGAGGCAAATAGAACATCACTAGGACCCTTATGAGTTTCTGCAGCAGAGTCATCAAAAACAGAATTTATTTTTAATATTAAAAATTTGGGAGCTTTTATTTCATCTTTCAATTACATTAGATGATAGGCATAGTTAGTGTAGGTAGCTGTCTCCACATTTCTAAAGGCCCTACAGAAGAAACTTATTCAAAGAAATTGAAATATTTGAACATTTGTTGGTGATTAATTTAAAGGGACCGCCGACCAGGTGGCCGAGTGGTTAGCGTGCCTGACTGAGGAGCAGATGGTTGAGGATTCGAATCCCGCTCAAGGCATGGATGTTTCTTTCTCTCGGTGTTCTTTGTCCTTTCTCCTATGTGAGAATGTGACCCGCCTATGGTTGTGTGACGTGGGCGACGCTGCTCCACCGCCGTGGCTTCCTCACAGGTGTCCACTGGGTAACAAGAAGAGAGTAGCAGTTCTGGCACTCCTGGCCAATGGGACAATACATCCCAAGTGCCCGCCATTAAAAAAATAATAATAATTTAAAGGTACCTGTCAAAGCATTTCTGATATCTCAGAGCATGTGTGATATCATGCTTGCTTACAATCATGCTTGCTTACAATTTAGACACAGTCAGCATGCTTGCTCCAAATACGACTTTCAACAAATCTCACAATTTTTGTCACAGAGATTAAAGTCAAGATAACAAAGGCTATCACTTACTAATCATAAAACTTATTAAAACCACCAGACCCTTTCTTAAAGCTAGAAGTTCACCCAATTACTGCTGTTTAAAAAAACATATTTATAGATAACTAACTAGTAACACTAATTCTTTCTTACCTAGCTGCATAGTGCAGGATAATTTAACATCAATGAATACCATTTTTTTTAAACATTTGTGAAACAGTAGCTTTTTATAAAAAAAATAAAAATCTAGTGGTGAAACTTTGAACTATTTCTATTGCAAATTTCTGTTTTCTTTGTCCCATACATGTTTTATATTCTGATTTTCAACACTTCATTATTTCAAAATAAATTGAAGAGAAGTTAAGTTTACTAGGATAAAAAAATTTAAATATATTTAATGACATACATAGATTATTTTAACTATTTGCAATAATAATTATATATATTTTGCAATAATAACTATGTAAATATATATAATATAGTTTATAAAAATATAAATATAGTTAATAAAAAAATATGCATTTTTACAGAATAATTAGATAATTTTAGTCTGTGTATTTAGCTTGTAGAATTAGTTTGTGCCTGTTTTAAAATTGTTTGTTGCCATATTTTCTGTTGAATTATTTTCTTTCCTTGCAATTTTCACACACTCATAATGGCATCACGTGCAAAAATGCTGACAGCTAGAAAACATTGGGAAGGAATGCTGGATCATGTCATGCCTAAAAACTATAAAGTTAAAAAACCTTTTCTGTGCTAAGACATAATATTGTGAGTATATAGAGTCCTTAAATAAATCTTTCGAAAAAAAATTCTTACATTTCTGCAAATGAAAATTTATGTAGTCAAGATTTTTTTGCAGAATGATCCAAATGTGTAATTCGGTATAAAAAGGTTATTGAACACTCATATTGAAATATCTTCTAAAAAAGAAAATGACTGCATGTTTCGCAAAAATATAACGTAAAATTTTTAAAAAAAAATAAGATTTGATGAGTTTATAGTTGAAATAGATACTTACTCCACTTGAGAAATCTTGATTATTTACATCTATAGGAAGTGTGGCTCTGAAATATAAATACATTAATTTAAATGTCATAAAAAAAAATTTAATAATTTTTTTCTAAAATTTACATTCTAGTATTTTTACTTTTTAAAGATAATCAAAATTTTTGTCATAAGTTTTAAATGTGCATAAGCATGTAAGAACAAATATTCCAATTGTAATTATTTTAATAACTAAATCTCACTTAAACTAATTGTCAAAGTTAATTAATATAAAAGAAAATATAACAAGCAATGCATAAGTGAAAATTTAATTAAAAACCTATAAGAAATTTAGAAAAAATAATGTACTTTAAAAATGTTGTTTTCAATATTCAAATTATAAGTAGAAACAGAAAGAAGGGCAAAAGATAAGCTTTCTGAAGAACTGAATTTCTTTTTGTTAAATATTGGGCATCTAGAATGTAAGTTTTGTGACAGAGAAGGCTTATGGGAAACAAAGATACTTTTCTTCTTAATAATGAAATATCATAAAATTCATTTGATTTAAGCATTGTTTTTGAAACCTAAATTAAAAATAGAAATAATGATAATAAATTGAATTTAACACAGTACAAAACTATTAATTGTAGTTAATTGTAATTGTTAATCACAGTACACATGATAGCTTAACATGCAGAAGAATAGTAAACTTAAATATATAATTCAATCTAAGGTACTACAATTAAAGGTTGATACACTGTGAAAAATATTGTTCCTCTGCGCTGATGTCTAAATTGTGAACTGTTCTAAGCATACCAGACCAGACACTTTCTACTTATTAATCATAGTTTAATATTGTGAGTCTTAAAGTTCACGAAAGCTCCAGTTAGTACCACAAATTGTATTGCCATATTTGTTTGAGATTATATCGTGTTCATCTTCAACAAAGTTAAATTGTTTCTCATGTTATTCATTTCAATTTATTTGGAACAACCATGACCAAATCCCCTTAAAATAGGAATAAGTGGAGGCAAAGTAAAGAATCACAGGTGAACCCTAAATATGGGCAATTTTACACAGTGTTTGTTTTTCTGTGAACCCTATTTCAACGACAAAATATTCCTTCGTATGTACGAGAACAATACTAAAAATCGTCATTTAAAATTTTAAAACTATTCTTTAAACACTGCTCAAACAATTATTTGTTTCAAAATATTTAAAAATCAAATGCAGACACATCAAATATTTGGTATTACAGGAGATAATGGTTATTAGAATTCTAGCCAAGCATTAGCATTTTCATGCACGAAATTCAACCATCTAATCCTCCGAGTCTCCTTCTTTGAATCCAAGTAAACAGCTAATGAGTGCAGAAGAATAAAATGGCAATCCCTTTCCCTTTGAGAAGGCTCATAGAGAAAGTACATGCCTTTGATGAACCATTTTGGCTTATTTAATGTTTTTTCTGGTGAGATTCAAAATAAATTTTTAAAATTTTTTTAGAAACTAAAAATATTATTATATTTGAAACTTTTCATGAAAAAATATTTTCTATCATTACTATATTTTCTACATTTTACTGTAGTAAAATATAATTGTTATTTCCCTTAGTAGTAACTTAGTAAATCTGTACAGGTTTGTGTCCCTGCTAAAGCAATTAAAAATGGTCATTAAAGCTTAAAAACTATAAAAGTACTTCTTACTCCAAAACTTATTCGCTTGTTTAAAATTATTTTTTAAAAGGGATTTTTTTATCTTTGTATTATTTAAAAAGTGAGTCATATTATTTAAAAAGTGAGTCATTTTTAGACTGCCTTGAAAAGGACCTACAAATTTTAAAGATAATAAACTGGAGAACCTTGGCTAAGGGAAGAATGTCTTGGCATAGGCTTGTTGAGAAGGCCAAGGAGAAGAAGATTATTTAAAAAGTAAAATATCAAACTCAATATTATCCTATTAGTTTGACTAAATTAATAGATTTCTAAATTTTGTATAAATGTGCTCGTAATGAAAATAGCAGAATTTTATCAGTTGGCTATTTATCTTAAGCAGCTCAAAATGCACATTTTTTAAGATAGACATAGCTTAAGATATGTGTTCAAAAAATGAACATATCTAAAAATGTGTGCTTAAGAAAAGAGACATAGATTGAAATGCCTGGACACTGCTTAAACTACTAGTTTAAGAAAATAAGCTCAATGCAAAATGTGCCTTTATTATAACAATAAATATAATGGAGCAAGGTCTCAAAATGTGGTATTAGGGTGGCTGATTATACAACAAATGTTACTTTTCAAACGATCTCATTGAGTTACGAAATAAGAGTAAATTAATAACTTTTTTCAAAATAAAACTATTTTTTCAAAACTTATTTATGACTAAAACCATAAAAGATTGCTACCAAAAAATCAAAACATCTTCAGGATCTGAAAAACACCATACTTTAGTGTCCTAGATTTCATGGAACCCTTGCCAACTGATTAGACCTAAAAACAGGATTCTCATGAATCTTTGATATACACATCGAAATTTTATGTGTATACTTGACCGCTATTTCCTATTATTTTTTAAAGCAAATATATCTGGGTAAAGTATATTTGTTTTCAGATATCGAAATGCAAAAATTGTATTTTAATAAAAGTAAATTTCTATAAATATTAAAGTTAATCTACTCTTGCTGTTAAAAACTGAGAAGACTTGTAGGAACCCAGTAAGTCTGTTTTGGAAAAATAACATTAATATGTACAAAGTGATTTACGCATTACAAAATTGCTTGGATTTTTTAGTTAGTTCTCTTGAAAAAAAAAGCCATAACAATAATTAGAGAACATAATCAAATGCCATGCATATATTTTTATACTCGTTTTTTAAGCAAGAGTTGTGATTTTTCTATTTTTTTAAAAAATAATAATAGTTTAATTTATATCAGTTAAATCTAACAATCAACATTTTAATTATATTATAATATATCCCCTAACTTTTTGAAAGTCTATATTACCAGGTATTTCAAATTGAACAATTTTTAAAAATGAAGAATCTTTTTAAGTAAACATTTAAATTATTTTAAGTTTAAAACTGAAGGAAACTCTTAAAATTCAAAAATGGGTAGCTAAATATATAAAGTGGATATTTTGTTCGTTTTAAAATATGTTTATAGTGATCGTTTATAGAAAAACCCTTAAAAATTTATCCTTACTATATTGTGAGTAGTTTATTTAATTCTAAAAAGCAGAGAAAATTTATATTATATCCTTGTTTTAAAAAAGTGCTGGATAACTTATTGTATTTCTAATATTTGGTAAAATAACAGATGCCATGAGGAATTTGTTTTGACGTAACAAAATTGTATAGATTTTGTAAAATTTATCAGTTTTGGCTATAAGCAATTTTGAAATATTATAAGATGTCTCTCGATTGAACAATTAATTTTGATATAGAATTCAGCAATTACTATTTTAAAATATAGACTTTAATATCCACAGATTAGATTTGGGGATACAGTATATTTTAAAGCAATTTGAAATAAACAGTATCCCCAAATTTAAACTGTGGACAATAAATTATTCTTTCAAAATAATTGTTAGCTAACATTTTTAACAAAAGAATTTTCCAAAAGCATTCATTTTAATAACTTGTATAATTATTATTAATTCAGCAACAAACTAAAAATATTGTGATAGTCTTGTTTTTTGAGTAAAGTCCAATTCAAATCAATACAGCTGTGGAATTTCGCCAAGATTTATACTAAGACTTTTATCATTGACCCTGACCCTAAATAATTTAAATAAAGTTTATACAATAAAAATCATAATACAGTTTAAGGTGCTATTATAACCAATGATAACTATGATTTAAGTTTAGAGCAACATGCTTACTGCTCACAGTACTTGCAATCATCATCTAAATCAGCTAAACTTTCTGCATGTCCCCTGCAAGCAAGCACATTCCAAGTATTAAAAAATAAAAAACAAAAATGTGTTAATTGGTATGAAATTTATAAACCCTTTAATATAAATTGTTTAGATATGCTTAAGCTAAACATATATACTGAATTCCACAATATCATACCTAGTTTTTATCCGCTAAAATTATTTTAATTCGAAAACATAAAAGCAATGTGTTAATTACAAAAAATTACATTACACAAAATTAAAAAAAAAGCCAACAATGTCTAATGCTTTAGTTAGAATCTACAAGAATTAACCTAACAGCACAGTAAATTTTCACAAGCATGAAAAATTTTAAAATCTTCCCATGCAATCCAATACATTATTTATTATTATGTTATAAAAACAAATATATTATCTCATATTAGACATAAATTATGAGCATGCAAAAACTATAATTCTTCCTTTAAATGTAATAATGATAGAAAAAAATTAATGTTCAAGATTAAAACAATTTTTATTTTTCAACTTTAAAGTTTCTTAAATTGTAAAGAAAGGATAGTTTTTTGAAAATATTGATATAGTATTTATCAAAATAAAAATAATTTCGTTACAGACTTAACTGACAGGTTTTGTTGCAGATAGAAAAGATCTTAAGAATTTAAAGATTTAGAGTAACTTTTTTAAAAAATCTAGAAGGAGTTGTGTGAAGTTGAATGATTCATAATAATGCTTTTTTAGGAAAACTTCATGCAGAATATGTTTGTGAAATAAACACTACTTTTGTTAAATAAACTCTACCCCAAAAGTTTAAAAGTTAATGTGTTTTTATAACTTTTTTCAGGATACATTATTTGTTTTGTGATCTGATACTAGCCATGACCATGCAACGAAAACACGAGTCGGTGGTTGGCTAAGGTCAGTAAACAGGGTTCAGTATCATGGAGTAATTAATTTTTTTAGGACCAATTAAATATGCTCTAGTTAAACTTCATTAAAAAGAAGTCAAACTAAATAGATTCCCACAAAATGTGTAGTTAGGATTGCCTATGCATTTTGGAAAAAAGAGATTTTGATAAGAACTTTAAATAAGAGACTTATAATGAACTTTCATAGATATATCTAAACAATAATATCTGATTTTGAACTATGTATAAAAAAATTTATTTCTAACACTACTTTTATACTTAGCATTTAAATATAAATTGCTGTAATAAAGTCACGTCATATTCATTGTAGTACTGTATTCAAACAAATACATTATAGGAAAAGTGAGCGATAAAAAATATGCATAATATTTAATCTTAAGAACCTGACTGTCTGAACAACTGTGTAATCTAAAAATTCCTTTAAATCAATAATCATTAGTGTAAGATCTATGTTGTGTGTAACTAAAAAATATATTATCAGCACGAAGAGTAATTCAAATTAGGAAGCAAAACCGATTGCATAGCTGCCAACCTCTAGTTATAAAAATGTAGAAGATAGACAAAAAAAAAATGCAGAAGAAATGCCAAAAAAAGATTCGCAAATGCATACTAATTACTAAAAAATTTATAAAAAAAGCTGATTTTAATTATTTATTTATAAATCCACTATAATATGAGCATAAGAAAGTAATATACTCACCTTTTTTTAAAAACAAGAAAAGGAAAAACATTTTAAAAAAACCTTTGACCAGCTACTTGATTTTACAATATTCATTTATTAATTCTTGATTAAAGGAAAATATGTAATATTTTAACATTATATTAACATTAGTTTAATTGCAATATTATAGTATACACTATACATATAAACTTAATAGAAATTATGGAAAGAGAATAACATTATAAAAAATCATTTTTTCAAAGATGCTTTAGTAGCACTTTTTGCTTTTACTAAAAATTCTTTCGAAAAGTCTCTTTCAAAAGAAAGTCTATCTTCTTTAGACTTAATTATTAAAAGTTCTTCGAGAGTCTCATCAGACATTGATGAGCGAAATTGAGTCCTATTTTTTTTCACAACAGAAAACACCCTTTCGCATTCAGCGTTGGTGTGAGGTATAGTCAATATAGCTTTCAATACTTTTGAAATTTTTTTATATTTGGAGCAACCTTCTGCGTCATAGATATTAATTAAAGCTGCAACCTGTTGATCCATAGGATTAGAGGAAATGCTCAAGTGTTCAACTTGCAGGGAGTTGAATTCAATTTCTAGATTATCTAAAGCTTCATCTTCAGTTTCTCTTGTTAATAAAAAAGGAAACTTTTTAACAAAGTATCTTATACTGGCGAAAGACGTAAAAGAAATTTTGGCCAAATCTGCCACCTCAGCATTCTCCAATATCTCATCATTTAGAGGAAATCTCTTTACAATGTATTCACACAAAGCTACAAAAAACTACTTCCTGACTTCAGCACAAAATTCTTTTCTTTCTTCAATTGTTAAAGATTCCAATATACTTAATGTGGGATTGCCTACATGTAGATTGCCATCATTTTTTTGGACAGTAGGATCCTGAAAGGGGACTTTAATCGACTCAAACTTTTTTAAACAATTAGCATCAATAAAATAAAGAAATATTGTTTTCAATAGATTTGTAAGTATTTGCTTCAGATTATGTATTAGAGGTGAACTTGTTTGCAAAAGTGTATTTATTTTTTCAAGGTCCGCTGAGGCAAATAAGACAAAAGAGCAAAATGCCTTATTAATATTAGAAGATAAGAAATAAAATATTTTTTCTTCTCTTTTTACAAAATTATTTTTATTTGCTGCTTTACCTGTTTTCTTTTTTTTTTGGACTCTGGCAGTTGTTGAAAGTATTTTAATTTTTCTTTTATCTTAGAACTAAATTCCAGATAGCAAAAAAATATCAATTACTACCTGGTCAAGGGGAAAATTCATTGCAGAAATAGATTTCTGGAAAGCTAAATTAAGAAGATGACAAGGGCATCCAATAATAATCAATTCATTTTGCACATCTTTCAAAAACTTTTGTGCATTATTTCTGACATCCATCATTACAGGTGCATTACCAGCACCAAAGGAAACACATTTCTGAAAGGGAATGCCTAGAGTTCTCAACTTGTCCAATACACCATTCGCAATATTAACCCCAGTACAGCCATCTCTAATAATAGTAAATGCTAAAACACAACTTTGAATTTTTTGAATTAATTCATCAAAAAATGTTACCACTAATGGATGGAGTTTTGAGTCAGAGTCATTTGTCCCGTCAATTGCAATTGAAAAGGCAGCGTTTTTCAATTGATCCATAATTGATTTCTGCAGTTCATTGGCCATCTCATTTGCTATAGCAGAGCTCTTAGTTCTTCCACAATTATAATTCTTTGCTATATCAGAATCGGGAAACATCTTTTTGAAAAGTTTTCCAGCATGATCGGCTGCACTGATTGGTAAATTATGCTCTGCTAAAAATGCTGTGAAGAGGCATTCGTCTGTTTTATAACAGCTTCTTCATTAATGCTTGCTTGAAAAAAAGAAACTATCTTCTTTGTTGAACCAAAAAGTTCTTTGTTCTTCTGGTGTTTTGTCGATTTCACGTGCCTGACTATATCAGTTTTACCACAATGAGCGATGCTAAAGTCATTTTTACATATGTTGCAATGTACATCATGTACTCCAAAATTTGATCGAGAAATAAATGGGAATTCAAGAGAATAAGCCTCCTTAAAGGCTTGTTTATATTGTTTTCGTTCAGCCATAATAAATTAAAGGGATATTTGAATGATTATATAAATATCGTCATAAACCAATTGTTCCTTCGCTTTTACACAAGCCATTTTCTTTCAGTGTTTACTTTCGCGCCGGCAAACAGGAAGTCCTTCTTTAGGCTGCTACAAGAGGAGCAGCGATGTTGGACTTAAAGAAAAATATGAGCTATTGGGGAAACGGGAAAAATGCGGAAGATCTTATCTTCTGCGCATAAAAGCGGAAAAAATAGCTAAAATAAGTAAAAATATGGAATGCTTCTGCAAAATGCGGAAGGGTTGGCAGCTATGCGATTGCAAGTAAATGTTTTATAAGAAAAAAAAAAGCTTTTTTAAAAAATGTACAGTTAACCTCGCATTTTTGGAAATAAAAAAATTAAAAAAAGCATACCTAAGTAGAAGCTCTTCATCTACGATTTCCAATAAACTCCTATAAACAATAAATAACTTCACCAAAATCTAATATTTATAACAAATCAAAACAAAATAACCCATATATATAAAAAATCATCTTTTGGAACTTATAAAAAGAATATATTTCTATTTTATTGCAGCTGAAAATGACCCATTAAGGAACATTTAGATGCCAGAGATTAATTATAAAATATCTCAATTTACAGAAAATTTTTGTTTAGGGCATACAGTTGAGTCTTTGATTAATGATATTCTACTTTAGGATGATCTCAATTTAAATATGTCATTTTCTAGTCTTTGAACATATAAAAAATTTTATCTTAGGACAACATAGTCTGTTTAACAAGAAATTTGTTTTCACTACTTTTTAATTGTAAAAAACTGTCTCACAGCTTACTCAGCAAATATCCTCGGGTTAACATATTGTTGAGCTTTTACCACTGAACATCTTAAATATTTTTTTTTAAATGTAATTCTATTCTTGTATTTTTTTATTTTATGCATGCATATTAAACTGTTGCATTTTCAAGGTGTATTAGACTGTTCCAACTATAAAATCAGGCATGCTTTGTCTCACTTACTCTTCTATTTTTAAGGTGATTATAATTTAATTTTTGAAAACAGTTCTACAAGCATATGGAGAGAATATGAAGCTATTCAGTAAAATATAACATCAAAAAATTGAAGTCATTGTAAAATTTAACTGTTACTAATAATATACAGTTAATATCCTTAAATATATGTCAACTTCTCTTCTCTTTACCACAATCCTACCATTACAATGACCAATACACTCAAATGAACCATTCATTACAATATATCAAACAATACAATATATGACTCAATCATCACAATATATCTATTCATTACAACATATAAATCATTTTTTTAAATTCCAAGAAAATCACTTCAAAAACAGGGTGTTAAAAATTTTTTCCTTCTAAAATAAAATTTTTTCCATTGACAATGAGTAAAAGGGTAGCAAAACTCAGAAGAAAATAATTCAAACCACTGATTCTTTTAAAGTTTTAGCTAAATAAATTAGAAATATCTTCAATTCTCAAAGAAAGAAAGAGTGGAAGGACCATCTATTCTTAATCTATGGTCTATCTATTCTTAATCTATGGTCAAAAAGATAGTGAAATATAGAATACTTACATATTTTAGAAGTCTAGTGGATGCATTCATAACCTTTGTAAATTTCTTTTCGAAAGATTCAACTAACTCAATAAAAAAAAAAATTCTGAAAATTATATTCATTTCAGGGTTCGAAAAAACTCAGAAATTTTACCCGTCCCTGAGGACGGCTTGTCCAACAATGAACCTGTCCTTCTTTGAAACTAACCCGTAGCTTCTAAATAAATAAAAATATAATTTTCACTTATTTATTACAAACATTTATATACATTGCACATTGAATTAGTAGTTACTAGGATTACAAATACTAGGACTACATTATACAGCAATAAAAGAAATACTTGGTTACTAGCAGCAACCGAGTATTTCTTATATGAAATAATTTAAATGACAAAGGTCAAGTTATCTGGAATGTCAATTTATCCGAGGGTACTGCGTTTTTTAAATGAATCAAATATGTCGTTTGCCACTTCCACAATCAAGCCAATGATTTACAGAGGTTTCTGCACAGATATCTGAAAGGGGTTTTCTATTTAGATAGATGTTCATAACTGCGTTTAACGCTTCTTGTTTAAGACCAGTACGTAATGTGTTTTTTTTGTAAGTTCATTGCTGAAAAGCCCCTTTCAACCGCTGCAGTACTCCAAGACATAGAAAACATCTATTCCACCATGAACAGTTTGTTGCTGTATTTCTAGATTAGAGGGTCAGTTTAGAAGTGAGGCGCTACTCTTGTAAGATAACAAAAATTGAAAATGTATCACGAACATTAACGGGAAAATGGCTTTCCGTGCGGATGTCGGAATTTTGACCACCGAGAACGGGCGGTTTTTCGAGCTCTGATTCATTTTTCTTAAGTGTTGTAATAGGTGGTTTATTTCTAAATTAAAACACATAGTATTTACATTCTTCTGAATTTTGTTTTTGCTCAGACTTGCAGTTCGCTGGATGTATGTTCTGCTGTTCCTAATTGGTGTTAGGCTAAATGCTTAGAAAAGAAACTAAAAATTTTATAGGAAGTGGATTTGCAAGTTGCTAAAATATTTACAATCCCAAAAAGCACTTTGTTCACAGTAATAAAAAATCATGGTGTGATTCTAACAGTAGAAGAAAAAAAGTGATCCAATTTCATGTCTTTTCTTATGAAAGAAAATTTTAAAATTTAGATAAAATAGCACAGAAAGACTGACTTCTGTAAATGCAAAATATTAAAAATTGATATGTAAAAAAATCTAAATGTATTTTTAAAGGGCAGCATGTTTTTGTCAAAATAAGTCCAATATTAATGAGTAAATATTTGAAATAATTCAATATACTCACAAAACAGCAACCAAGCATTACAATGTTCATTGGCGCTTAGACAACGGAGATGGCTACATCAAGCAATGACTGTCAAACTATATATTTAAGTAATAATTAGTAAATACAATAATTAAAATGCAACTTACTTGCAAATTATATCTGAATCCAAGTTTTGCTCCATCCAAGCTGTAGGCAAATCAAAATCCGGTTCCACAACAAGATCCTAAAAATGTAAACATTTTATGGGAAATGCAGTAAGAAAATGTAACAATGAATATATAGTAAGAAATTATAAAACTTTCATTGATTTAACAGATGAAATTGAAAGTAATTTTATGTATTGAGGTTCTAGGCAGGTCGAGTGACTTAAATTTGCACTTGATTGAAAACTTATATTAAAAATCAATTCAAATCCAAAAGTCAAAGAAAAAAGCTCAACCCTCTAAACCTAAGATCTGAATATTTCCTTAGATCAGGAAAGGTTCAGGTTTTTTGTTGAAGGAATTAATTGACAGCAGGGTTGGCAAGGTTTAAGACAGAATGAATTAATCGGGTTTAAACCGTGCTGTCCAAAACCCCTTTATCCAAAACTATCTTAAACTGTCCAAAACCCTTTTACTCAAATTATGTCACAATTTTATCTGAACAATATTTAAGAGGTAAAATAAACATAGAACTAATAACATATTGATAGTTAAATATACTAGAGAATATTTGTTTTTAAAAGAATAATGTTTTATTAATATTGTTTGACTCTTCAATTTAAACANTGAATATGTACCCTATTAAAACTGATTATTACCCTGAAAAGAGCAAGAACTGGTAATTAAACTAATTAATTTCTAACTTGTTTCAGGAGGAGTAAATACTAATAATTAACACTATTTTTTAACAGTTATAAAAATATATTCATAATATAAGCTAGTTTCAAAGTCTATATCTTTTGACATGATTTCATATGAAGCTGGAGTTTTTTCTTAACTGATTTTTATCATCCTGTGATGCAGAAATTATAACATTTTTTTAAAAAAATAATGTGAAAAATAAAAGGTTAATTTTTGAACAAATTTAGTATTTTTTTTAAAGAAAATTTACTATTTTTTAATATATTTATCCGTATGCAAAAATATTATTTATCAGTATTAAAAACATATTTATATTTAGAGGATAAGGTATTCACTTTTGTTGATCAATGAATTGTGGAGCTTCAAAAATTATAAACTTTTTCCTATTATATTATGTAATTTTCTTTTAATAAGTTATAGTAAATTGTATAAAAAATATCAAATATTTATTGATACATGTAATTATTATGTGTACAATGGTTACACCTATAGAATTTTTACCTTTTACCAAAGTTCAAGGTTTTGGATACTTTAAGACAGTTTAGGACAGTTTTATCCAGTTTAGGACAGTTTTACCCAGTTTAAGACAGTAAAACCCAGTTTACTGTCCAAAACCAGTTTAGGACGTCCAAAACCCCAACTCTGATGGACAGAGAATTTCTTGCAACAAAAAACTTTTTCATACAATGGTGCCTAGGTATAAACTATTGTAAGGAAAGATTCTGTATTATGTTGCCTGTCATCATGATGTTTGAATATTTAATTAGATGCAGAAATTTTATTTAATTCAAGTACACCTTAAATTATCACCTGGACACTCATTAAAAAACCAAGTTTTTACAGTTTAACCAAAACATTAAGTCATAACTAATGGAGAATAACTCATAAGGATCAGTAAAGAAATTTTCAATTGTATATAAATATTTTTTTTAATATTTCTGGGAAATTAAGAAGTAAAACTAGTTCCAATCAAAAACTTATGCAGTAATTCTTCATATATAATTAATGAGCCCAATTAGGTGCCAAATTTAATATAGTTAGGTGGTTTTAAAACTATTTTTCCAAACTCGGATATAATTTAAGACACTTCTCAGAAACTTTATTTAGCTTCAGTATTTCAAAGAAGCAATTAAATACAATGACAACTAATCTTAAGGCTTATAGAAGTTATGAGAAGTAGTTTTATTTAAGTCAAAAATAACAATCAAAATAATTCATCCATCAAAAATAATAACATGAGAAAATACACTTAAAAATCTTACCCTGGCTTTCTAAATAAAATACTGAATTTGGTAGATAATATCTAGATTTAATGCATAAATCTAAAAAATCCACAAACAGAAATGTTGGAAATGAAAAAGATAAGTAAATTAATTTATATTAGAATTGTATAAAAAGTTTTATTATGAATATAAGTGGCCCCAAATGGTAAAAGTTTAAGAAGACCTGATCTAGAGTTTATTTATTATCTTGGACTTTAATCCATGCATTTCCATGAGTCTCTCTAAGAGCCTGCCTTTAAGAGCACTTGTTGAGATTACTGTAAGATCATGGATTTACATTGTTATACCCTTACTTATTTTACAAACAGTGGGTTTAGAAGGTTGGAATATAACGGCAAAACTATTTTTGTGCTCAACAGAAATTCTATTCGTTCTTAGAAACTTATTACTTAAAAGCAGCTAATATCTAGTTTTAATCTTTTTATTTGTATCAAAAAACTTGATTAATGAATAAATTAAATTTTTGAAGTGTTTTACAACTTTAAATTAATACACTCATTTTAATGAATGAAAACTAATTAGGAATGGGGCTTACCTTGCTATTGAAGGATTCAGACATGAAAGGAAGATCAAAGTTAAGACTTTCATCTGAAATAAAGAAAATAGTTTATTAAGCAAAATATTTAATAGCACATACAAATCATTAAAAATTAAAATCGAGAGAAAAATATCAGTGCTGGCAGAAGATATAAACATCAGTAACAGTGGATTTATTTCATTTTCAAAAAAAGCATCTTGAAGGTGTCTATTTATTTACAATCATTACAAGGTAATGTTTATATTCAAATGTTTGTTTCTAAATCAAGTACAGACAAACTCTGTGTTTATATTCTCTGTAAGAACAAAATAAAAATTATATTCATATTTCATAAAAACAACAAAATAATGCTGATAAATTTCCAACTTAATCCTAACTATTTCCTACTTCATCAATTTCTTTACTACTTCCTACTCCACATTTTAGAATCCAAATTTATATGTTTAAAATTATCTTATAAGTGAATATAAACACATAAGAAAATAATTCAACCAGAAAGTAATGATCGTATAGAATTATTCGATATTAATAGATACTTTTTTTTAAATTTTAGTTCTGAACTTTAATTTTAATAACATTTATAAATATAGGATGTCACAAAATAAACTTGGGCAAAAATTAAAACCAAATATGCTTCTCGCAAACTTATGCTTCTTTAATTTCAAAAATTATTAAGACCATCCAACAAAATTTTAATTCAGTACACAAGAGCTATGGTACATTTTCCTGATTTCTTATTGATAAATCATGTAGCAGTTGGTAAGTTATGGTCTATAGAGAAAAATTTAGGACATTAGATCTCAATATTGTAACCAATGATGGTCCCTTTGAAAACATATTACAATTATGAATATTTTAATATTTATTTGAATGTTTGGTGATAATATTTTAATAGGGACTCTAATTTTTTATTTCATGAGTGTCTTTTATGAGTTTTATTAAGCTTTTCCTTGTCACCCAATAAATATGTGAATGTTACCTTATTAATATTTGCAAACAAGCATTACTTAAAAACTTACCATTAAAATCAGATGGAGATTTTTGCCTGCTTCTCCCTGACTTTTTGGAAGCAATTCTTTGAGGCACATTCATCAAAATCTGAAATACATAGATCATAAACTTTTATAGTAATGACTACATATTTTATTGTAATGAGTAAAATCAAGAAAAGTGGTCATTGAATATATTTGACAATTATTTTGCAGGGAAAAATCCTATATTCAAGAGCTTGTTTAGAAAAAACAAAATATTGTTTATTTTTTAAAAAGTAATTTTACCTCTTCTTCTTCTCCATCCAAATCAGAAAAATTTAGTATTGGATTTCTGGCCTTTTCTAATAATTCTTGAGCTATATGGTTACCAATGTCCACTTGCACAAATGGATGCTACGGAAAAAAAGTATTAAAAAAATATAAACTTTTCTCACTTGCTTTACAAATAAAAATCAGCTCATCAAAATATACATATACTAAGTGTTTTTAACCACTGAATGAGAATTTTTTTTAAAGTTACACATTAGAAGTAAAAAACAAAATATTTTAATTATATGCATTCTCGACAAAGATAAAGGCAAAGAAATTTTATGACCTTCTCATTTGAACTTATAAAGCAGTCAGTTTGTCAGGTCATTGAGAAAGATTTTACAAAGTGGAAGTTAAATAATAATTATTCTACCTGAAGCGTTTTAAAAAAAAAAGCTACTTAGCCAACATTAAAAAGTATGACCGTCTATCCAACAAATAACATATACTTAGGTTTCAACAAATGAATTGTTATGGAAGGTAAAACAATTCTTTAAGCTTTAAAAACCATGGTTCATACATTAAGAAGTTAAATGGGCTTTTTAGAATTAAATGAAACCTAGTTTCTTTATAAAAACTACTTACTTTTTTATAAAAACTTAAAGCATATAAAAATATATTTGAGAGATATTTTTGAAAATTTTCATCTAAAATAAATGAAAATTTTACCGTTGATAATGAAGTTTTGAAGATCCGTTTGAAAAAAGTATTCTCACAGGGAGCAAGAATGCACCAATCTTATTGAAATTTGGCATAATTCTTAGACAAGATAACTTTTAACAAGATAACAAGATATTAAAAAAAATTAAAACTTAAAGTTTTTGGAAAATATACATGCAAAAAATATTTTATTTTGGAAAATTATAAAGTTTATATAACAAAGTAAAACAAAGTTACATTAAAAAAAAATCCCCTGTTCAATATCAATCAAACATGCAAAAATTTAACCCAAACCTTTATGGGCTATAGACCAAAACCCTAGCTAGTTATGGTATTGACAACTAAAAATTTACCCTCCCATTAAAACTTTAAAAAATCAAGAAGTTTTGTATGCATTTTTATGATTAACCCCTTGCACTACACTGAAATTTGGATCTAAGTAGCTATTTTTTGCTGGTTAGCTCTTACTTCATTTAAAAGTTAATTTTTCACAGAAATTTCTGGAAAAAAAAGAGTAATATTTTTTCTATTGCTGGAAGCCATTCAACTTCAGACAATGTGAGTGTCCTAAAGTAACCTCACCTGTCACAAAGTATCCCCATTTTATGTAATACTTTTAAAAATGCTTTTGCACCATTTAAAATGAAAATAAAAGTTCCAATTTTATTTTAAAAAATGCAAAATCTGTTAAAAATGGCTGAAAAAAAGAAGCATTCTGAAACACAATTCCTAATTTGCTGGTAGTAGAGTATGGCTGCGTTAAAACATAGCACAGAAACATTCACAACCAAAGTAGATAGAAGAAAAATGTTTATATAAACATAAAAACTAGAACAGTAGATTAAAATTATAGCACATTAAACTAATCAAACCGTTTGCCAGAGATATACACACGCCCATGGCAAGGTCAGAGAAAACTATTACATTACTTAAAGGGCTGATAAAACTAAGTAGAGAGAGAGAGAAAGGGCGTAGTACAGATCAGTTGGTAGGCAAATACTTTTACAAGGCTTGAAAAGTAAAACAATATTGTCATAACAAATGATGTTTTCTGCAAGTAAAATATACTTGTAAGTTTATTGTATCATACCTGCTCCCATAGCAACTGTTGCACATCATAGATCAATCTTATCAATACATGGGGACATTGAGGTGATATAATCTTTCCATTGTCATTGATTAAATGTAAATGAACAAACCTGTCAGCATTAAATCCATCAGAAAATGCTTACAGCTTAATCGTATTTCTAACAAAAAAGGATGCTTAGTTCACTTTTTTAGAAATTTAATAAAAAATTTCCACAACAAACCCTACTCTATTTTATATACATTGATTTGTTCTACTTACTTACATTGATTTATGCTTTGCACATTATAGTAAATTGATAAGAACAAACAATTGAACTATGAACAATATAAGTAATCTATAAATTTCTTACCTGTAACAGTTTTTCAGCAGTAGGTCTTTTTTTGGGATTCTTTGTTAATGCTACTTTAACAAAGTGATGAAATACTGGTGTCCTAAAATGATAAACAATCAATGAACTGGTTTCTTTCATATGTTGGCAATCAACATTTTAAACTTTAAATTCATGTCAAGAGTATAATTTTTTGGTTTGTAAAAACATTAAAGCAAGTGAATAATCTTCATATTAAAATACCAAATGGGTAATTTGAATTAATGAATATGCGCAAGCAATATTTCCATCAGAATTTTACATTGACCATACTATTAACATTTAATATTAATATTTTCTGAAGTCTGATAAAGATAATTCATAAAAATTGGATGATTTTAAAAATTTAATATACTAAAATTTTAAAGATGAAAAAAATTGGGTAAAATGAAATGGGGGATTTACTTAATAAGTTTATTTTCCTTATTCTTCCTTAGTGAGTAATTTAAATGATGTTGCAATAGTTCTAATTTAACAAATAAATAGAGGTATACTTGTTCTATTGTATTCAATGTATATAATTTTAAATTTATAGATATAATAAGGTACATTAATAAACTGTGAAGCAAACAATGTATTAGTATAGTACTGTGGCGTAACTACAAATATTAAATACCAAATCACTAGTATATAAGACATGTTAACTTGATTTATCATGAGGTACCTTTTGATAGATGAAGGTTGACATAGTCTATAATTAAATCCCCTCATTGGTGACATACTGACGTGATATGAACTCACTGACATGGTGGATGGTCCACATTACACAGTTGATTTGTTTAATATAAACCGATCAAAGAAAAAGAAGGGAAAAAAAAGATCCGGTGAAGTAAATTAAGTCTCCCGGTCAATAAATGAAAAAGAAAAATATTAAAGAGCGAAATGCTATGAAGAAAAAATATAATGAGCGAAAATGATAAAAATATATAAACAGCATGAATCAACTAGCGGTAATCGTTCATCGAATTCTATCACAGATAAAATTCTGGAAGGGGAGTAATGCGGCGTAACTACAAATATTAAATACCAAATCACTAGTATATAAGACATGTTAACTTGATTCTATCTTGAGGTACCTTTTGATAGATGAAGGCTGACATAGCCTTCGCGAGAGGGTTAAAAAGTTTAAACATTTTTCATTATTTAAAATTTCTTTAGAGTAGAAAAAAAAAACACCAGGATAGTAGAAAATGTAGCACATCATATGTCAATATAAGTTTGTAATGTAACATCAAAGTAACTTTTTGACAATTTAAAAAAAAATTAGCTTCATAACTTTAAATTTTTATTGAATGATATGTAGATAAACAGAACGAGAATAATACTGCGAGAAAATACGAAAATAAATCAAAAAACTTTGACAATAAATTAAATAAAAATTACAGTTTCACTATTTATTAATTTAAAAAAATATGGCATAAAATTCATAAAAATTGAAAAAAAGACACTGTGACTCAGTCTTTAAACTTTTTTTTATTTACACAAATATTGGTATAATGTTTTCCATATTTCAGCTGACTCTTACTTTTGAGATGTACTAGATTCATATGCATCAAAATCAAGGTTTATTCATTCAGAGAAAGAATTTTCATGTCTGATTTCATAACTTATTTATTTGTAAATATAACTTAATTAACATGCTTTAATTTCTTTTCAAGTCACAAGAGTAGCATTTTATTGTGTGATCATTACATGAATAGTTTAGAGTGGGTTTTTTTACTAAAAAATATAAATAAAATTAGAACTATATACAGGGCATCTGCTAAAATTTAGATTTTCAAATTCATGACCTTTCATGACTTTCCAAGACTAATTCCAAGAATTTTTCATGACTTAACGAAGTTACTATTTTATCCGGCAAAAATACAACAATAAATTTAAAAAAGCACTATAATAACATTCTCTGAAATGATAGGTATAATCAAAACTTTTATACTCTGCATTTTCATATTTATAGATTTTAAATTTAAAAAACAGAGTAAAGAAAGAGTTGAAACAATAAAATAGCTGAAAAAAATACAAATGCAAATAATTTTTTCTTCTTTTTTCTGCAGAATTACATTCTAAAGATACTTTTCTTGCTCATTGGAAAGGATAAAAATACTACCGATTTTTCAATTCTCATTTCAAAATAAAAAAAATTCGTCAATTACTGGCCAGCTTCAGCTAAAATTTTAAATTGATAAAATAAAAATAAAAATAATAACAAAAATTCTGAAATCACAGAAGTTAAAAGATAATTCTCTCTAGATATGTTTTTTCTTTCATTTTTTGAAAGAACACTATAATTTTTAAAGAACACTATAAAAATATTTTATGTTTTGATCAAATATGATGGCAAGTGGATATTTTGTTACAAATTCAGATATTCGGAACACCATGAAATTAGAGGAGGGGGTGAATTCCATTTTCAAAACTAGATTTTTCAGCTACCTAAATCCATGACTTTTCATGATTTTTTTTAAAAAAATAGTTAAAATCATGACAATTTTTGTTCAATATCATAATTTATGACTTTCCAGGTGCGCAGACACCATGTATATATACCACATTCATTGCTCTTTTTTTGTAATAATGTAGCGTGTGCAAAACAAAAATTCTACTTTTCTGAATACCTATTATAAACAGATTTTTTTGTATTCAAATGAAATCTGTATGGATTGAGAAGCATATTTTAAATCTATCAGTGAAAACAATAATTTAAGCACAAAAGACAGTGTAGAGAGAGTTTAAATTGTGCAATGAATTCTGGAGATATGGTGAAGCATGCAAAATGTAAAAACAGGGCTAAGCACAAGTTATTGCTTAAAAAATGAAAAGCTGGCTGAAAATCTTTAAATGTGATAACTGCAAAACAATGCAACTATTCATATAACTTTTTAATAACCACTTAGAGATAATGCAATACAACTTTTTTAAACTAATTTGTGGTGTTTTATCATGAATGAAAGGATATTAGTTAAAGAAAAAGTAAAGCATCAAGAAATATCAATTGTTGTTAATTCCATTATAAAAGAGATATTTTTTAAGATACTCTTCAAACTTATGGCACTCAAAATTAACAATTTTTGTTAAAACTCCTGCTTGTTCATAAGCAGCATACATAACTGATTCAACATTGCAATTTTTTTAGATCCCTCTTTTGAAGAAGAAATTATGATTTGCAGACTATGCCAGGTGATCATTACAGCCTGGTTTACAGATAACGAAATGTCCAGTGTCGATGATTTGGCACTAGATAGTGTGACTGAAACAGGTCTGTTCATAACTCTGTATTGGCTAATTAACTGTTATTGTCACTTAATTGAAATAATTCTCAATTAATTAGACAAATTCCCAAATTTTATAATTGAAAAAAGTTTAAATGTTTCTAAAGAATTCTTTTGCCTCCCATGGTGAATTTTTTCTTAGCTTTTTGCACTTCATATATTCACTTTCTCTTTTTTTGCAAAAATATTATAAGACATATAATGTTTACAAAGGAAAGTATTTTTCTCGTTATATCATGTTTTATTGAGATTGACAGAATAATTTGTTTGAATGTATTGCATACCAAGAAGAGAAAATATAAAAGACCACGAAAAAAAAAACTAAGGCTGAATATTGAATAAAAGTGACTGATAGGGAGCCAAATAAAAGTTCTAAGCACAGGAGATTAACTTTACTTTGAAAGAGGTTTATATGTTACTCATGCTACAGCAAAGTGATATTCAACTTTTATTTTTTTTCGAAAAGTATGATGTTTAATAAAGAATATCATTATTTGTTGCTATGGATTTTTCACTTAGAAATGTAACCATTCAAATTTTTCTTAACTACCATTTAAAAATGCACACTAAAATTTTATCCTTATTGTTAGTATTGTTTTTATACCATACTTTAAAATGTCCACTTTAACTGCAATTCTGTCAAAATCAATACACATACCATTTATTTTTGTCTTTAAGCTGTGGTGGTTTGAAACCAGATTTTGACATTAAAAACAATGCTCTCATAGGATGCAAGTCAAACATGGGAGGCTGCAGTTCAGCAAGTTCTATGGCAGTAATGCCAACAGCCCATATATCACAAAGCTGATTATAACCACCTTTTCTTTCAACAGCAGCAACTTCAGGAGCCATCCTATGGTTTAAAAAATGCAAATAAAAACATCATAAACTGTATAATTTAAGTTGTTATGACTATACAAATTATCAAAAAGCATTAAATATAAAAGAAAAAGGCATAATAAATGTTGTCGGCATTCTGCGGTTCTGTTTTTTTTTTTTTAACTGGTGGCTAGCATCAAAAGTGCATAACCAGGTTATTAAACTGATCAAGGATTTTTGTAAGTTGTTTTGCTGCAAAAAAAACTTCCTTTGTCATTTTGTGAAAATGTTAGGAATCAATGTGAAATTTTTGTACATACTTGGTCAAACTTCTATACAAACACTTAGTTATACTAAAAAATCATTTAATCATATTTAATTTACTTCATAAACTGACATACCCTCATACAACATTGAAAAAACTGACAAAACAGAGTTATGATGAAGAAACAGAATAGACGCGGACTACACTTAAATATCGGTAATATATAGAAAATTATATACTTTTCAGAAAGAAGATAATATTTTTTAAAAGCTCAATTTGATTTTGTTATTTTTAAATTAGATGTCTGATTTGTGTACAACTTTTAATCAATTTAAAAAAACTTTTCAGAGACGTTAATTTATGTAAAAAAATCCTTAAATTTGAATTTTGACACTAGTGGATTTTGATACTACTAAACCCATTAATTTTTGCTAAGGTAATTTTTTTGTAAATACTATTCAACCCATTAATGCCCAGACAAAATAAGTGCCCCACACATGAAAAGAACATACATTAAAAAAACAGCTGTGGATTTTTGTTTATGCTACATGGATAGTTCTTTCTGCTGCCAACTATCGTAATTTCACAAAGGTAGACCATAGACCACAAGAGAGAATCCTTGAACTGGTTTTGGAAATCTGCTTTTTTCCTGTTTTTTTAATTTTATTTGATTGCTGATTTAAAGAAAGGGCATTTTTACTCATTTATAATTGGGATATTATAAACTAGTTTTAAAAGATCTAATGCATTTGTGATAAATCTATGGCACAATTTTAAGTAAAAAAGATCTATTTGTTTATATAGCTATTTTTTAAAATTTATTTTAAGGGCTTTAAATTATTTAATCATTTCAATTATTGAAATTTTTGATGTTCAAAATTGGTAATAAGAAACATTATACGTTTATGATTGTTCTATGAGGTATAATTTTGAGCAAAACGACATTTGTTTTAATTTAATGCGTGGGTTTTAAGTTGTTTAATCATTTGGCTTATTAATATTTAGGATATATAATAATATTGCAAATCAAATTACAATTAAGAAATGTGATGCACTTGTGACAGTTATAAATAGCACTATTTTGTGAAAGGTAAGGTTTTCACTTTTTATTGTATTTTAACAATTTATTTTATTATTATTCACATTTAATTCTATTTACATATAACTTGTATATTTTAAATTAGTACTCATTAATGTGATGCATTTGCAATTGTGCAAAATTTTAAAAGGCAAATTTTTAAAAGCTGTAAAAATTATTAAAATCCATTTTTTTAATTTTTTTTTACCTAAAATCAGCAGACATGCCAACTTTTCAAACTGCTGTCAAGAGCAGTCACAAAGAAATAATCGAAATAGTGCAACAAATTGTGATTAATACCAGTTGAGAAATACAGTTTATTAATAGTGAAACTTAAACACAAAACTATTACTTTATACAATAAAAAATAAAATGTTAAAAAATTAACTAATTATTCATTGAAAGATAATAAAATAACTAACTTGGTTAAAAAAGCACAAAAAAACTCCTTTAGAAAAAAGACCATTGTATTCTATGTAAATTTTCTCTGATTAATAGTTTTTCAGATAATAAAACTTAACATAAAATTTTTATTTTACACAAGAAAACAGAAAATAATACACCTTAATTATTGATAATTAAGATTAATTATTGATTTAAATTATTCAAAAACTAAAAATTAAATAATAGTTTATTGAAAGATAATAAAATAACTAATTTCCTTAAAATAAAAACATCACAAAACAATTTATTCTTTTAGTGATAAGGCTGTTGCCTTTTTAGCTTGTTAGTTCATTTTAAGTAAACTGCCTTTGATGGCAAACAATGTTCCTAGCAGTTAATTTTGATTTTTCTACCATGATACTCTAAAGTGTGTTCAAAATAATAATATTTCTAAAGTATGTTTCATTCTCCCACACCATGCTAAAAACCCTCTCACAGGAGGCATTGCAGGGATGAGAGTAGTCAGAAAGTAAAAAAGAGGAAATCCAAGAATGAATATATATATATATACATAATTCATTTTTGAGAA